CCTCATCAAACGTCGAAAATCCGGGCGTCAACACGAGCGATACAAAAAAAAATCATGTGATGGCGCCCCATATCACGTCACGGATTGCCAAAATGAGTGACGTCATTGTTCGTTCAAACGTGGGTCAATACCGGAGGCCATACAAATCCCCGTGAGGTGCAAAGGGTTCTCTGCTGGTGGTCAGCATATACCAACGTTTTTACTAGGCATATGCACCAAAATTATCACAATTTTTTTTTGCTTTCCTGTAGATTATCTCTTTGGCATATCCTTCGCCCCTTCTCTACTTCTCTTTCTCTCTTAGAACAAATTCTACTGCCGCCCCGCCGTGGTAGTCTAGTGGCTAAGGTACTCGGCTGCTGACCCGCAGGTCGCGGGTTCGAATCCCGGCTGCGGCGGCTGCATTTCCGATGGAGGCGGAAATGTTGTAGGCCCGGGTGCTCAGATTTGGGTGCACGTTAAAGTACCCCAGGTGGTCAAAATTTCCGGAGCCCTCCACTACGGCGTCTCTCATAATCATATGGTGGTTTTGGGACGTTAAACCCCACATATCAAAAACAAATTCTACTGCCACACGTTTCGTGGCTGATTCCCCGAGGTAGGTTGTGCCATTTTTCCGGGAATCCTGATCATCAACATTGGGTGAATTCGCACAAGGGAGTGAGTGAGTTATGGGTATGACATGAATTTGCCTAGTCTTCGTACTTTACGCTCGTTCTGGCTTCGCGTGGTTTGAAGCTGCTCTGTCATGAAGCAACAATGGGCAAATGTTCGGCAGTTACGCTTCACCACCTTAATCCTTTAGGCTTACCACTTCAAATCGGGTCAAGAAGAGAAAAACGGTTCGTTATTCTCTTCGAAACAAAACCAAAACACAGCAATAAACGAGGCTACGAGTACGTTCGCCGCCCACAAGCACGAAGACTATAGGTAGATCCATGTCATATACGAATAATTCCCATGGTCTCTGAACGATCGCAGCGCCAGTGTACCGTCTAGTTTTTATTAGGAAACTCTATGGCTGGGGGACAAAAATAAAGTTTTAATCAATCAATCAATCACTCTACGGCTGGGACACCGAGATAACGCAACTCGCTTGAAGCCGGCGCGTCGGGGACAGCGAGAGCGCACTCACTGCGGAAAACCCCTCCATTAACGTGGCGTGACGCAACATCACCGTTCATACCCGCTCGTTCTTTGCATATACACGCCCACCTGTCGTTCACGTCCGTGAATGGCGGAATAACTCGCTATTATCAGCCAGGATTGCCAAGCAAACTACTATTATCAGTTCTGGTGAGGAAGCATATCTTGTATCCCAGATTCTGTTAACGGCCTGCCGGTTGACGGTCGCGCTCTAAGAATATGTCATCGTCCAGCCTGCTCTATCTGCTGCTTCTCTTCACAGCATGATGATTGCAGGCCGCGTACGTGAGAGAGCACTGAAGGATGCGGACGCCTGCGTACAATGACCCACAGCGGCCGCGCAATGTGTGCGTCAAGGAAGCTTTAGTACAAACTCCTTGGTGTGCATTCGTTAGCTGAACGCATTTCCCCCAGACCTGGCTTGCAGGCTGAGCTCCATGTCGCCAGGTTCTGTCGCGAGTAATGAAGCTAGGAAACCCAGAAAACGAGAAAGAAGCGCCTCTTTCGAACTGTTGCCTAAGTTTCCTATAGGCGCTACCACCAAACCGATAGCGATGGGTTACAATTTATGGTTGTGAGAGCTATGCACATGTGATGTATATGACGTTGTGGAGTACACATACTGGCGGAATCTTTCAGTAATAAGGTGTTGTTAAAAGTTAGCGCTGTGTTGTCTTGAGTGCACCTTCTCTTGTTCATGTCCTTTGCGCTACCATATATTATCAGGCAAGGAAGTGCGACAGGCAAGGCACTGTTAAGTTTTACGGCGGCCAAACTGCGGTCCGTGCCCCATCGCGGTGGTCTAGTGGCTCAGGTACTCGGCTGCTGAACCGTAGGTCGCGGGATCGAATCGCGGCTGCATTTCCGATGGAGGCGGAAATGCTGTATGCCCGTGTGCTCAGAGTTGGGTGCACGTTGAAGAACCCCCAGGTGGTCGAAATTTCCGGAGCCCTCCACTACAGCGTCTCTCATAATCGTATCGTGGTTTTAGGACGTTAAACCCCACATATCAATCAAACTGCAACCCGTTCCTGTAAGCACAATAAAGAGGCATTCGGCGACTTTCGTGTGAACCTGCAATGGGTGCATCTGCAATAACGCCACAAACGTTCAAGAGTTGTCCACGCGATCAAAACTTGCAACACAACAGCACGCGGTTCAAAGCGCTCAACGCACAGAGGCTCGCACGTCGTGAAGTCCTGTATCGGCCTCCGTGAACGGGCACAAACAATACCCGTCACATTATAAAACGACTCGCGGGTGTTGATAAATAAGCGAGCGGGTAAGAATGTTCCTCTGGTAAGGATGTTCCCTCTGGTAAGGATGTTCTTTCTAGTAAGGATGTTCCAAGTGAGCCGACGTGATAATGAGTGCATAGGGCGACTAAATGGTGAATAACGGTGAATGAAGTTTTAATTAAAGTGTATTAAGGTAGCACGAGAGTGCTATGCAATGTGGATTAACAATCGATCAGGTGTTAAAATTAATCAAACATTACAGAGTGTTAGGGTTATTGCCAGATGACTCAAATGTGAATTAACACATCGGCAACCGAGCCTTAGCACGTAGACCTGGTGGTGATGTCCAGGCGACCGAAATAGAACGACAAATAAGTAGCTCGCAACGCGTTTTCTACCCCTGTCACACGGGCACCCGCGAAGACCGTTTAACTCCCTCGTCCTTACGACAACGAAGATTACTCGTGTAGAGAATCCACATTCGAAGAATTCCGGGAATATAGGAGACTTGCGTCACTCGAGGCGTCACGACGAATGTGTCTCGAGTGTCACAAAGGAAGGTAATACCCGGCACGAAAAACAATTACGCTGCAGATAATGGATTAAATTCGTCACCCAAATGACCACTGTCAGCAAGCCCATTCGCAGACGACAACCTTGAGTTACTTCCGGTACGGTGGCTATTTCAAAAATCGTTAACTCCGCAAATGTCGGACTAAGAGAAACTTGCATTCACTCAAAAGTGTGGCAGCTTGGTCTAGTTGGTATGGCATGACGATAGTTATAGCGCGAGAACAAAACGACGACACAGAGACAAGAAGGACACGAAAGACTTCTTCTCTTGTCTTCTTGTCTCTGTGCCGTCGTTTTGTTCTCGCGCTATAACTATCGTCTTGCATTCACCTTTTGGTTATGGAAGAGAAGAAACTGACTGGGACATGCAGGCGTTTTTCGAAAGCTTGTGACTACACAATAGCCTAAAACGATGACTTTTAAAACGAATGTAGAGGCTCTGGTTATAAGCACATCGTCAGGCGTGTAATGCGTTTCAGGGTGTCATTATGCCTGTCCTTTTAATTCGAGTTGATCTGCAATTTTCCATGTCTTCTGCTAAATGTACACGGATATACCCATCGGATCAATGGCCGATAGCAGGTAAATGCACGCGATCTGCGAGCGATTGCCAGATCACTTTTTCTCTCTCTTTTTTCTTTTTCGGAAATGTACAGTATGCGTGGAATAACGACAGTCGGAATCATTTAGACAAACTTGAATCATTGGGCTGGTGAGCGTACGCTATACTAAGGGCTCTTTCCGCACAATTCATTGCGAAGGATATGGGACTGGGGAGTATTCCCCAGAACTAAACTGGGACGACAATACAAATGCTCATTGCGACTTGGAAACGAGTAGTCCAGCCTCGTACACACCTACCCGGAAGTTCGATTGCCAGGCAATTGCAACACAAAGCAGATCACCCATCCTGCTTTCACAGCAATCTCTCAATGTACGTACTTTCGAGCGTGTTCTGGGAAAGGGGTTTTCCTACCTGAGCAATCGCGTGCTCCTTCATTGAGGAAGAAACATCATTAAGGGGGCGGCGGGAAATTTTAACAGCAGGCGGATGTGTGCGCGTGTTTGTATGAAGTCGAAAACGTTTGAACAGGTCGTCGGAATGCCCGTTGCTACCCGGCGCCGGCGCGCTGTGTGTTGGCATTATTTAGGGCCGACCGGTGGCGGAAATCGATTTCGCCCTATTTGTGAAGGCTTACGCAATAGGCTTATTCGAGTGAAAAAAAGAAAAGGTGTTGATATATCCCCAGTGTCGTAATGTAAGGCAAGCCGTTTTCATCGGCTGACACGCGGGGGAGGCAAAAAAAAAACGATAACAAAAAAAAAAGCTTTCACAATTCTTAGCAAGATTTAAGCGATCGCGCAGACGCCGATCGTTTCGTATGCAATCAATTTTCTGCTTAATGTTGCAACTCCGTACTGATTGATCAGTCTATTTGTCGGGCACGTGATGATCATTCCATGTAAGGTTAATAACGTTATGATCAATGTACCTGAAGTGAGATCGTATTCGTTATAACCCATGATCATTCCACGTAAGGTTAATAACGTTATGATCAATGTAACTGAAATGAGATCGTATTCGTTATAACTGATTACACCTTACTAACTTAATTAACACGTGATATCTTGGACGTAATTCACTAAAGATTTTATCCAAGGACATCAGGTAATCAATACTACACGTACAGGTTTCATTAGAACTAAACTTGATTCCCAAATGAATATGTTCAAGCAGATCTGAGAAAAACTACAAAAAAAAACAAAGCCGGAATAAACTTTGCCCACAATTTTATCTCGGGAACGAGCCGATCACTTTATTGCAAGGCTGAATCTCGTTCGGAAATCTAGCGAGTTTGTCCGGACTCGAGCATATAACTTTACGCAAATTACCAAGCAATTTTCGCCTTTATCTTCCACAGTGAGCATATCGCACACATGATAATGCGTTAACAAGGTGCTAATTCTATTTGAGGCGGAAGGGGGACTGCTGGTAGGGATTCAATAAGGGCGGACAAACGAAACAGGCGTGAGTTCGCTTACCGAGTTGACGCTGGTCATATGCAGATTGTACAGCACGGGCAGGATCAGTTCGGCGGCAATCACGTTGGAGATGGCCAGACCGAAGACGGCCACCCAAAACTGCGTCCCCTTGTAGTACATTTCGGCGGGATAGCCTAGCACAGTGGTCGCCGACTGGAAGCTCGCCATCAACGACATGGCCACGGGGAACACTCCCAACTCTCGGTTGCCCATCAGAAACGCTTTGTTCGACACATCACGCCGGTCGCGCCAGGCGAAGTAGATGCCTATGCCCGAAGACACACACAGCATCAGGCACATCACGCTGTAGTCCGTTACCGTAAACCTCGGCACGTCATCCATGATCGATTGTAGATATCTTTTCCGCGAAAAGTACCGGCGCCGAAGCGAAAGTGGGCGCCTAAGTGGACAACGCGGAGAATATATGCGCGTTAGAACAGGTCCTCGCGGACATCGGAGTCGCACAGTGTCAATGAACTGAACGGCAAGATGCGCGAAGACAATCACCCTCGCCGTAACGTCTTCCTTTGCTGGCGAAGTTCCCGGCGTGCGGCGAAACAAACGCCGCAGCAGTTCTTTCGCCGAAGAATCCGAATCGATTTCAGTCACGCATTCTGACAGCGGACGGGGCTGCGTAACACGAACTGTCGTGACACGAGAAACGCGGCAATGATACCCTAGGCGACGGTGGACGGTCGCGCCGCGTCAGGAGAACATAATTCGGCGTGTGCGACAGCTTCTGCTTCTCGTTCCGATAGAAACGCCGTATGCGGCTTTGGCTCGAACCGGTCTTGTGCTCGCGTTGGTTTCTGGCTTGGAACCGAAACAAAAACTGCTTTTTAAGAAGACGGCGCTTGTGACGTTGAATTTGTGTTTTTTTATTATACATGTATTTAAAACTAACCTTATAAACTTTGCTCTTTTGTTTAAAACTACAAAACATAAATTGAAACACTTAAAAAAGAGTAGTCAGCGGATTTTTATTATTTTTTACCCCCTGAAAAAAAAACTTACTTGCAGTTCACAAAATTATAGCCTTCGAGATTAAAAACTAGTACCGATGATCAACTGAGACTACCTGTTTCTGCGGACATTTTGTACAACTATTCAGTGATTTCAATAAAAAATTACGTATATAACCTCTAAAACTAGCAATCTTATGACATGTTATCTATAATAGTAAGAGGTGAATGGTTATGACATATTTCACTTGTGCAGCGTACAAAAGCATGGCTTTTGAAATAAACAAATACTTTTTTTAATTATTAAATTGTTAATATTCAAGTTTAAACGTTGTGTATGTTTAAATAACGTTTTTGAGTTATTAGCAAATTAATTGCACTAAAAACATTAAAAAGTACTTTCAAAACTAAATGTTTTTTGAGTTTCGGTTTTTATTTTGGCATATGGTATGTTTTGCTGGTTCTTTAAACATGTAATGGTTTAAAACCCTTCATTTATTCCGAAACCTAGCAGAACGACGACGTTTCTTAACTTAATGTTTCAAGTAGAGTGTACTAGAATGGGGGAGTGGGTCCACTGAAGGCTCCACGCTGAGGCGTTTTTTTCGGAAAATCCAGGTGGCGCTACCATCGCCTTCACCTGAAGACTTAGCCGTGGTTGCCATGGTTACAAGTCCCCTTTGCCACGCGGTTCGCGACGGGTGGGTAGTCTGATAGTTCGCGCGGTTCGCGTGCTGCTCGCGCGTCTGGCGCAGTCTCGCAGCGTTGTTGCTTCGTTCGTGCGTGCGTGGCCGTGAACGGCGTCGCACCGTGCTTCCGCGCCAGTTCAACAAAATCTAAATGTTTATATTGCGAAACGCCCTGCTCGTATAGGTAGTCACGCACGCAAGTACCGTGATTTCCACGGTAATTGTTTACAATCAAGAGCGTAAGTTGAATTTGGCTTTTGCGAAAACGTACGCATCGAAAGTGTAATATGAGCATTAACTGCGATGCTTTTAAAAATGTCAATATAACTGGGATATATAAGTAAGTTTGCGTTTGGTGCAAATTTAGACTCACGGCAGCAAATTGAATATGATGCAAGACTAAAGTTACCAGCTGTTATCACGAGAATTAAAGCTAAAGTATGCGAACCCTTCTGCAAATTTGCAGCTATTCGTTAGGGACGCGTGATATTATTGAAAAACTGAACCAGTCCTGTTGCGATTACGTGAGGGTGTTGGCAAAGGAAGTTTAGTCACATCGGACGGCAACTGTGCTATTCGTAGGAAATGACTTATAGGGCGGACGCACGTCCGTCGCGGTGGTTTTATGATGAGTTTTTGTTCGGCATCTAGTGCTGGTATACGTTGTAGGTATTAATGAAATATGTTATATTTTACCTTTTCTCTTCGTGCCTGCGGTACGTGTCCATGCAAACATTTGCTCGAAACATGAACGTGTTTTCACCTATAGATAGGAAGTCTGAAAGACACCAATAAAGAAGTGATATGCGCAAAATATTTTATTTTAAATTGACTGCGCAAGCTTTTCGCATAAATATAAAAAACAAAATAAATATCATCGAAAGACTTCGACACCGTCGCTCAAGGAACGTCAGGCTCTATGTTGTCCTGCTAAGCTTTAAGTGTTTTGCTCTCGCTCGTTTCGAAGCGTTTTCCCTGTTCATTCCCTTCACTAAGAAGTGAAGGCGAGTGAGCACGTAGAACGAAACGAGCTTTGTGCTCACTGCATCTTTGTGGTCTGGACAGCCGACCGCTTTCGAGTTCAGAAAATTAGTTTTCACCAATGAAAGGATGTCAGAGATGCTATCTGTGTGCAACATGGAAACACTGAAACATTCAGTAAACAAGTTTTCAAGTGAGGCAATGAAATCATACAGCTGTCGTGAGGGGTACAGAAGTCCACCCCAGTCGCATTGCTCCGTGAATTGCGAAGGGAGCTGTTCAGCAACCGCGACAGCTTTCTCAAACAGAAGCACTTCTTTGCATTGTACGCATGCCAACTTCAATACACACTTTCTGGCCACGTACCCTGCTGTGTAGTAAATGAGTCTCGAGTCACTCTTCTCCAAAGTCACATCGATGTGGTCAGCAAACTTTTCTGGCATCGTGGCAATCGTGCTTTCGACCTCGCCAAGTTTTCCCTGTGATATAAGATCATCAATTTTTTTGTGCGTGACCTTTAGACCCTGTCTGTCATGCACAGTGACAAGAGCGTTTATCATGTCAGGGTTTGCGTTTGCGCTGTCCACACTGTGCGCCAAGTTATAAAAGGACAAGCAGTTGACGGTTATTAGAAACTCATCCGGAGAGGGGTGCGCGTTGCAGCCACTTGACTGGCGAACGATGCCGAAGAAATGTTCCACGGGATCGGTGCTAAGTCGAGATGTCATGAGATATTTGAATCCAACGCTCTCTGTCAGGTACTTCAGCAATGAAAGGGTATTTGCTATAGTGACCCTAAAACCTATGGCAGTGGACTCGCTGAGAAAGTGCCGCTTGTTGTCACTGAATGATTCCCAGTCATTCAGGAAGTCCAGAAAATTGGACAGGAATGCCACGTCTGTAGAAGCTGGTCTCAGCGCTTCGGCCCGAAACCTGGAAGTCATCACGGTGATCAGTCGTTGGATCTTCCTGCAAAATAAACAAAAGAATGTATGTCAGAAGAGCGCTCATCATGCGTTTGAGATGTTTACGATTACACTTAATTCATTTGGAACGTAGGCGCAACTCACGAGAAGAACAGCTGAGTTGCCTCGATGCTGCCACACCTTCTCTCGATGTCCTCCTTGTAGAAGGCCAGGCCCCGTAGGACATATGGACCGAATAGTTGGAAGGCGAAAGGGGTTCTCATCTTCTCAAATGAGTTTGGTTCCAGATGCGTCTCGGTCAAATTGGGCATAACTTTCAGTGTCCTAACACTTCTGTCTAGAAGGTACGCCTCCCGAACCGGATGCACAGACACCTAGAAATATAGGTTGAGGTAATGCAATGTATGCAAAAAACACAATCTTTGTAAAATGTCAACCATGAATCTATACGTACCAATCCGTCTGGTGTTGCAAAGCCTTTCTGGAGAAGACCATTCCTGAGGCATTTTAGCAGATGCGGGAAATCGGAGATAAAGTGCAATTTCCTCATCTCGTCGACAGGATGCTGTATGGCGCCATTTATTTTCTTCGATGACGCCGACACCCCCGCTAGCTTCCACATTTTTCGATTCCAGGGGGCTCCGTCACAAGTGATGTGGTCGACGAACAAGCCCGCCTGTTCCACGAGGATGGTAGCTTCCATGAGAATTTTCAATAAAATGTCTCCTCTCACATTTCCTTTTGTCGCAAAAACGCCCACAATTTGGCTCCATTTTCCAGCGAAAGGCACAAACATGATGACCATGCCGTGATCACATTGCTGGTACTTGTCTTCGGGCTTCGTAAATTCTCCAAGGTCCACGAAGCCTTGAATCTGGCCAGACGCCGTCACATTGAAATGTTCTGACAATTTCATTTCGTCCACCAATAGTCCGCCGTGTCTTTCGAGGTCTGACATGCTCGCGGTTTTTTTCTTTAGAGTGTTCATTACTGCTTGATTAAAACCGAAGGCCGACTCGTATGACCTCAAGTATCTTTTCAAAGTAGTGTTGCTGGGCATCATGAGAATTTCGTTCTTTCTGATGTGCTGATAAAGCCGGGGACTCTTTAGTTTCATGAGTAAACACTCGAGGATCCACTCCTGATTGTAGCGCATGCCCTGCTTGCTGGTTTGTTTGGCAGCTTGAAAGCAAGCGCGAACACTTGCCTGCTGCTTTCGCGGTAGTGACGATATTTTATCCTCTAGTATTTTATCCGCGACATTCGCATTGTTTGCCCTCATCTCTTCGAGACGACCAGCAATGTCCAACAGCCTTGTCGCCATCCGCTTGTTTCTCTGACTCAGGACCCGCAGTTTGGTGGAGACTGAGTTTCTTCGCTCTTTTCGTTTTAGGTAGCTTTTTCTGGTGAGTATTACTTTCCTCACGTACTTGCATGAAATGCATGAAGAACCTGGAAGTATACGAGAAAAAAATTATGAAGAGCTTCCAGTTTTTTACCATGCATGTTTGAAACGCAATTTATGCACTTTCACTTTCTGTAGGCAAACTATTCTTTCGTAAATGTTAATGAGTACTACAAAAATTAGGGGCCACACAAATGTTCTAGCATTAAACAGGTTACTGATTGATTAATTGTACAATTACAAGTGACGTCTCAATAAACGTTTGCCGCACTCACCTTGTTGTTTAACCGCTCCTTTGCACGTGACACTGAAGACAAGGCCGTCGGAATGAGAGATTTGCGGCTCCAGTTTCTTCGTAAGAACGTCATAGGTGAAGTCCTTCGCCCTACCTGCTCCTCTGCAAGGGTGAAGAGATTCTGCGCAGTCCAGGACTTGTTTGGCATCTTCAAGGTTATAGGCGACCTTTTCGGAGATCAGCGTCTTCCGAACATATGTCCGACAAATCACTTCACTCCGGTCGGTACCGTAATTCATGAGCACAGTCTTTTCGATGCTTACGAGTTCACGACTTAGGGAGGCCGAAACATAAGCAATTCCGTCATAATGACGAAACTTGTGCATTGCCCAGTGGTCGTTTGGCCGGACAACGTCTTCAAGTTCAAATGCGTTGTCGCTTTGCCTCGCACTTTCGCAATCTTCAAATCTCAGTTGCGGCTCAACTGATTGCAGCGCAGTTCTTTTTGACGGCTGGTCTTCACAGGTTGGTGGTGAAGCCGCTCTCTTCTTCGTTGACTGCTCCGGTGTGGGCTGCTCGTCAGGACACTTCAGGAGATGAGGTATAATTATGGGTACAGCATCACTGCGAAGTTCCGGCTTTCCCCGCTCTATATATACTTCTCGGCCTTCGATAATATGTACATATTGCCTTAGTATGTATTTTTGCTCGAAGTGCAGCTCGCAAATGGCATCGGTGACTTGCAAGGGCCGATCAGCGCGGTTGAGATTCTGGTCCCATAGCCGGCGTCTTTCTTCGTCTTGAGGTACTCCAAAGAGTGAGAGCTTGGGCTGGTTTTTAACTCTGCTGTATCCGGTTTGGCAGCCTACGACACAACAGTAATTTCTACGCCTAGACGTGCTCATCCTCTAATCTTTTGAAGCAGCTTGGAACGCTCCGTTATGCAACCAGCAGACACATATCTGCGCACGCAAACGTGCCGTCTGCCGCGTATTCTTTGTCCAGACGGCTTTGCTCAAAGGGAAATACAAACCTACGCGTTCACGAAAAAAAGCATACATTTTATTTCATGTCACTTGTTTTTGTCTCTAATAATGTGTAAAAAAAGAACCAGGAGACAAATTGTGAAAACAGCGCACGAACGACGGTGCATCGAACAGACGACGGCGCGTCGAGCAGACGACAACATCGAGCGCTCAGCGTCCCCGCCAGCGCGTCGTGCGGCCCGAACCGCCGCACGACTCGCACGCTCCCGCCGAAACTGACGTCACTTCAGGAGAAGGCTACTGCAGCGCCACCAAATTTTCCGCCGTTTTTGCTTCACCCGCACCGCTTGCCGCCGGCCACAGTGGACCCACTCCCCCATTCTAGTACACTCTAGTTTCAAGCATATGCCTACAACTTGCAGGTGAACATAAATATTGACCGTTGCGGATCACAAAAAAAATAAATAAATAAATGACTGAAGCTAAGTTGCGAAAGAGTTTACAGTGGTGAGCGTCAATGCATACTTCCTAGAAATGCTAAACACAGCTGGCAAAGCTCTTTCTCATTTAATCAGTTGAATTTGGAAAAACTGGCTTAAAAATTTGCACCGACAGAAAGGTGCTGTTTAGAAGCACTATCGCGTAAATTTTGGGTGGCACAAAACGTGTGTATTTTCACTTTTTATTTCTTGAAATAGATTGCAGCATCAAACACACCAAACTGCGCAATTCCCAGAAAATACACTCCAGCAAATTTCCAGAGGATAAACTTTTGTGAGAATGTTTGTGGTTTTATTGATCTTGTCTTATTTTCTTGTTCAAAACATTTTCTTGACCTGAAGTGTTCAGCGACTAGGGTTCAAGTTAGCTTTCTGTTATTTTTGTCAAACAAGTGACGAAGTTGCTCTGATGGAGAGGACGAATTGTTTCGTGTAAAAATGTCCTAATAAATGCATGTTTAAAGATATGTCAATCACCAAGCAGGTAAGAAGAAGGAAGAGTAGCTGAACATCAGTTAAAATTTGTGCCCTTATCCGAACAACTGTAACACTCACAAGGGCTGACGAATCTATAAACTGTTCACTATGCTGGCACATTTACTGACAGCCAGGATGTACAACTGAAAGTTTTCTTGTTCCAGCTGATTAAAAATAGTTACAATATTACAATTAGGTTGTACTTGTTTTTGTGACCAGATGATATCAGTATCAGAAAGAGTGCACAAGGTTAACTTGTGCAGTGTTCCAATGATGTTCTTGAGCTGCATAAACAGACTCGAGAAAGATACACGTGTGATGTTTTTCAGGCTGCGAGTAGTCGTGAAAGAAACAATGGCATTGAGAAAACATACCACAGATGTAATAAGAAAGTTGCAATATATACATAAAGTTTGTAATGAATTCTACATCACTTTACATACCTGCATGATGAAAAGCAACCACCAATTAGGAAGTCCTGCACCACATGTTTTCATACTGCCTTCATAGCGCAATCAGATACAAAAGTTGTGTTATTTTTCTACTCACCGCATTGCCTGTGATGTGGAGAACAGGATATGGCTTCGAATCGTCGATCCACAAAATGCAAAAACAATGCAGGCCAGAATTAAGTCAAAGTCATGTCATCAAATTTTATTTCATTTGCAGAAATTATATCTCTCTTAACAACAGTCCTATTTTAGTACACAAAACAGCCAACAGTCCTGAGTCAAATTGACATTATTCTCAGAAACAGCCACCCGTAACGAAAGCATTAACAAGAGCTTTCAAAAAAAGTACTCCATACTGCGTAAAACGAAACAAGAAGGTTAAGCAACTTCACGAACAGTTGCCAGCTCCACCGACAGATTGACCGATCATAAAGAAAAAACATTGCTGATAAATATTGGCAGGTGCACACTGTTTACAATTTTCCAAGGACCATGAGTTCCTGGCTAACCAAGTAATCAATTTGCACCTGGCGTGCCTTTCTTAATTGAATGCTATCTCTCTTTCGAATCCCCCGAATCTGCGATAGTATCACTCGAATTTCATCGCAGACCCTATAAAGGAAAAAAATCTTTTCGTCAGATTATCAGAGCAATGCAAATAGTGGTGCGAGAAATGTCCAATCCAGAAAGGTGGCCCTTGGGCCGATACACCCGCAGCTTTGTTAGCCAGCAATAAAATGGTCATCACAAAAATATAAGCAGCTGCAAAATTTCAAATTCTAGTTTGTATGCGATCACCAGCGACTAAGCTGAACTGCAAACTATTATTCACTTTGTGCGAGCAAACTGACGACAGGTTCTTTTGCCATACTGCCAGTATCAACATTCCACATGTCTTGTATCATATGTCTTGTACCAAGCAATAACCATGCAACTTCGCTAGCTCGTGAAAAACACAACCGACAAGTATGTGCCGATATGAGTAAACTATTCTGAATCAACATACTGCAAGACTTGCAAATTACACCCACACAGAATGACTAAACAAGCAGAAATGAGCTTGTACCTGCATTGAACACATTAAATGGAAATCTTGTACAGAGATTGGCATTACTGTGCGGATGAATTATGAAAAATATTTGCGATAAAAATCCAGTATACTCAAACCCCACTATAACAAAGTCCCACCTGCACGAAAATACTTCTTTATGTTCGAAAATTCGTTATAAACATATAGTCGTAGCACTGTAACTGAGACAGAGTTATGTTTCATTTAGTTCATTAAAACCAATAATTCGTTATATCTCGGGTTTGCTATATTGAGGTTCTGAGTGTATGTGCCTGCGCCGAATGAGAAATGATGACAAAGGCGTCAGCGGATCTAATAGTGCTTTAGACCAATGCATTAGAAAGTTGAATAATACGGCACAGTAACAGCCGAATAAATAAAACCAGGATCAAAGAACTTCATGACCCTGAATGTGCGTATCTGCATGGAAGTTGGTGTGACCTGAAACTAGCATACGGGAAAAACGTTGGTTACAGAACCTTATATGTCATCTATAGTGCACTCAGTAGAGTCGCAAACTGCAGCGTGACACAGTCCTCTAGCTTTTTTACAACTCATAATCGGTTTGAATAAGATCAAAGGAAACCAGGTCATGTCACATTACAAACGGCCAATGGTTGCACATACATTATCACAAGATCACCTCTGGGATACATTGACGCACCAAACACTAAGAGAGCTGAATGCGCCTCTTGTGTGCGACATAACCCTTTCTTAAGAGGTGTCCAGTTGACATACTACGAGTAGATGCAGTGCAAAACCCGCGAGGCAATGAGACTCGCAGTGCATGCGTTGCAACTAGTATTCCAGAAAAGTTCCCAACACGGGAACAACTCCTACTATTCCTATTTATCAAATTTCAACGAAACAGGAAGTTATATCAGTGTCACACGGCGCGTTGCTGATCACAAGCCCAGTCAGGATCAGATTTCTCCACAGAGATTAGTGCCCTTTCAGAGTTTGTGCAAAGGAGCCGATCATGATCAAGAACTTTGATCCAGATCAGGCTTAACCATGACATCAAACATGCCCGTGTAACACTGGTGTTGAAAATGTAGGCATCGTCATTCGGTAACACTGGCTGGACTATACTTGAATACATGAATGTTAAATGCCGAATACATTGTTAAGTAACAGTAGGTAACGAATAAAATTGACATTCCTTATTAATCATTTTCAATTATATCATTCATATGACCCGTCTGCAAGAACTGTAGCAGCGGAAGCATAGAAGTAATAGATTAAGCAGAAATTGTGTGCTTAGCAATAGTTTTAAGAATTATGTCTCTCATAGCGTGAAATGCGGTGCTTTTGGTTGAATCTTACCAGCAATAAAGAAAATGTCACATTAATTTGTGTTATGAGAAACGCCGTGCACTTTGTGATATATTTCGAGGAATAACTTCTTACAAAAAATGCATGTTAAAGCATTCCTCTAAGTAAATTAATATGACATAAGCGCAACTAGCTAGACTAACTGGTTATGGCCTATTAGTAGAGAGTCACTTTGCATTCATATTCATAACACAAATATTTGTACCCCAAATATGAATTCAAGTGACTGAAATCAACGAAGCGCGCATCACGCTTAATAAAAAGTATCCACAGAGTAATCCAGCACATGTGGTAGAATATCGTATACCACATGAAACCAACCACTTCAATAACTCTGTTTGCTCCACACAACGTATGGAACATACTATTTTTTTAAATGAGAATATAGGATAATGGTTCTCTCAAAAGAGAAGCATCTTACCGCTAACGATTCTGCTCGTACAAATGGCATATTGTGGGAGAACCATAACACAGTAAGATTTCCTCTCGAACCTTCAACGAAATGGGTTGCTGCAGGATGTGATAACATTGACGTCAGTACCATGCAATTATCAATTCATAATAGGTGGTAATTCTATTTGCCTTACTAAACAGACACACAACTCAAGTTTTGAGAACCAAAAACCCCGTATGCACGTATATGTCATGCCAATAATGAAGAAAGCCCAGCTTTACAGTTTTCTTTAAACATTCAATTGCACTTATGAACTTTGAATACATCAAATGCTCTCCATGTTTTAACATGCAACACTCGTGCTTCAAAAGCAAGGTCAATTTGCAACTAAGTAAGTTTGCATGCAGCACCACCTGAAGTTCAACATCAACAGAAAGAGACAAATGTTCAACGTTACTGCTGATGCCTTTTAAATTACAAGCAAGTGCCCAGCTCAAATTGTGGAATACGTCATACATCAGAGCTCATTTGGTTCTCGTCTCCTAGCTATACCTGTACAGAATCATATGTGAACACATTATAGTCAACGAGGACCGAGTCATTGCGGTTTGACCACTGGCTGCTTATAGGCGTAGTGCTGTGAACGCTCGCATTCAGGTTCTTCGAATACGCCACGGGAAGTTGCCGAATCAGGAGTTCGCACCGCCAACAACTTCGTCATGAATCGCCTGCTCCATAGCGTGAGAGGGCTGCAGGGGTTTCTGACAAACAAAGAACACACTGCGGTACTCGTACCGCATCATAGAACGTGGATTTTGGGTGTACGGTGTTGGAATACCGGTTTCTTCTTTCTGTAAAAAAAAGAAGAAAAAAAACATTAGGCCGTGCTATATATAAATTGAACATGGCTACTTGCCATGAAAAGCCACAGATTGCCAGTATCATTAAGTAAAATAACCTTACCTACTCAATCTCAATCATTCAGTACAATGAAATAGCTTTACCTGTTCCTTTACCTATTCCTTTACATTTTCTTGTTCCACTCTTACACAACCAATTTTTAGGTTTCTTGGCAATTCTAAAAGTGTAACCTGCCTAAACCTGAGTATTGTTGACTTAGATCTCTGTCATGCAGCTTTTTATATGAGCCATAATTAATAAATGCCAAGAACAGAAGTATAAAAGAATAACGACAATCATCATTATCATCAACCTGACTACGCCCATTCCAGGGCAAAGACCTCTCCCATGATCCGCCAATCAACCTGGTCTTGTGCTTTCTGCTGCTAAGTTATACCCGCACACTTTTTTAATCCCATCGGCCCACGTAACTTTTTGTCTCCCCCTCATCCATTTGCCTTCTCTGGAAATCAGTCAGTTGCCCTTAATGACCAGCGGTTATCCTGCCTACGTGCTACGTGTCCAGCCCATGTCGATTTCTTCTTCTTGATTTCAACTATAATATCCTTAACCCCGGGTTGTTCCCTGACTCACCCCACTGTTCTCTTGTTTCGAGAGTTTAAAACTATCATTTTCCTATTCATCGCTCGCTACATCGTCAATTTAAGATTATGTAACTAGCAATATTTAGTATAACATTTAAAACTGCCACTATTGATATAGGCAGCTTTGAATGATATTAATGATTTGCGCAAAGACGTTTTGCAAAATCCACCTCAGTATTGAAAGGTTTTTAACACAATGTGTAAGCTAATTACATTAATTGGAAAAGTTATCGATGCTCATTTTTGGTACAAAAATGCAATGCTGCAAACTTTGCGCTTACATACGTTACATATACAACTTTCATAGAAATTTTCCTGAAGCCTAAATTGAAGCCTTTGCTTGAAAAACTATTTGCAATAAAAATTGAACTTTCTTTTTCAAATGAGATAAATTTAATTGAGACGACTCGAAAAATAAGTCTCGTTAAAGGACTTGCATTTTTTTTCAGCAATCTGAATGATGTCGGACCACAAGGCAATACTGATCAATTTCCTTTTTTTTTCCCACACAGTAACTGATTTACATTTGCCACCATGCACTGCACTACAGAGGCACACACACGGCATATATGTGGCGTGACAATCTCAAAACAACTGCACAGGTGTACATAGTCATGCAGGAAAAAATAAACTATAGTCGGTTACAACCTAAGCATAAATACATGTTCTATCCCCAATACTGCCGCACACCTGTCATTTACTCGTGCAACCAAGCAACGATTGGCGATTTCCGTTCGAACTATAAGCCCTTTTTCACTGATAATGCAAGTACTACGAATATTACGAACGAGAAGTTTGTTGTTAAAGTGCTATGTTTGGCTGAGCAGTGAAGTCGGAATTTTCAATGAAGTTTGCCAAGTCATATGTCGGAAATACATGACCGGTCCCGATTTCAGGTAAATAAACGATTGCAATTAGTGGGACAGTTACGAAAATTCTGTCTTGGTGGGACAGTGACCGTAGTGGGTAGAGCTTATATTTATTCTTAGATTGTAACCGACTATAGGAGACAGCCCTGCCTCACATAGCCAGCTCTGGAAATAGATCCCTCTGTACAGCCATTCTGTTTGACGCACATTATTGGCGCAACACATAATCCCGGTGATACAGCGCATTGACCAGGAATTCCAGTTTGGCCCCGCTGCTGTAACTTTGCATGCACTCTCTCATTTTGCGATCATGTGTTGGGCGAATACCCCGCCTTTTTTTTTTATCGCGAAAACCTTAGATGCCTCAGAAGTGTGGCAGTTTGGACTAGTTGGTATGACGTGACGATAGTTATAGTGCACGAACAGAATGACGAACTTTCTTGTCCTTCTTGTCTTTTTGCATCGCTCTGTTCTCGCGCTATAGCTATCGTCTTAGATGCCTAATCAGTCACACCTGCACCAACTTTCGGCGTCAGCGTCAACGGGGGTGATGGAGAAAATCATCATCCCGCAATGCTCACATCACGCAATTATGCCACATATTGCCAATATTTGTGATATCACCACGATGTCACCACGACATCACATAACATGATGAGGTCATCACATGAAGTTGCAGCTTGGTAAAAGGCAGACCAATCACAGATGCAGTTCAAAACCAGGTGAGGTGCAGAAAGCTTAATTGCAATAGTGAACAATGTTGAGCCTGTTGGTATTGCATAACAAAAGGCAAAAGGAAAAACAGCGCTTAAAAGATGGGGACAAGTGAAGAATGACACACGATGCACATCGTGTGTCTTTCTTTATTTGTCCTCATCTTTCAAAAGGGTGGTGCCACCATATTTGTGGCTTGCCCGTTATTTGCTGCGAGTGTTTCTTATAGCTCCAACAAGCATGTTTCTTATACACCCATGGAGAGTCGTGTATTCTCACTAAGTAATTCAATATCACCTCATTTCTGTGAACAACTTTCGGTTTCTGGGCACCCAGATAGGCAGTGACGTAGCAGTACAGGTGGCGATATCACATGACCACACAAAGAGCTGTGTATCGCTGAGTATCGTTTGCTCTTGCCCACACGTGCCACACAAGCACCTGAAAAACAAAGGCGCCGCTAGCTGCGATGCTTTGCCAATACATACAATGATGGAGGTCTGGATGTTACTCACCTCACTACAAATCTGTTACTCACCTCACTACAAACGTCACTACAACTTTCACTGCCCCTCCTATAGAGCTATGCCAGTGTTGTTAGAATGGGCATTTAGGAGCGCAGTTGGAGGTGAATTAAATTATATTCAAAACGTTTTCTGTGTTCGACTCTTTGTGTGGGCTTGTCCTTGCATATATATGAAAGCCACAACAGGCTTTTTTATAGCCTTGAAATTTGGTGGCATCGCCTCTTTACGTGCTGTTTTTAATTTTGTTAATTGCAATGCCTCCATTTCTGGAGGTAGTGCAAGACCAGGCCAGGCACACGAAGTTTTCAGAGGAGGCGGGGAGGATCAATACATCACATGAAAATAAAAAAGAAGACGATGGTTTCCACCATCTAGTCGTTTTTGGCAAAAGCGTAAGGAACACAGTGATTTCGGTTTCAATGTTCCTATGCTTTACTCTTCCCACATTTTTCTTTCCTCTATGAAAGTAAGGACTGACCAAAAAAATGAAGCCCATAGTGAGAATAATATTTCGGACGTCTTCGTAGCTGGGCTCGATCGAGTCCTCGTTAGGGAGGTCGGCGTAATGGTAGAGCAGCGGACCCAGGTTGATCCACAGGCCCCCTGGCCGAAGGATGTGCGCTATGGTTTCGATATACACCACCACGTTGGGTGCCGTGTCCAGGAAGAAGCAGGTCGACACGCAGTCCCACTGTTCTACTGCAACAGGAAGCAAGAAACTGTCTCATGAACTGCAAAAAATATACACTGTTATCCTTTACGAAAGGGAACACGCAAACACGTGGCCTGCGCTCTGCAGTCGCTGCCTACAGCACCATCAACTGATAGCAAAAACAAACACGTTCGCGCTCAGCGTCATCTGTTGCTGAAAAAAATAATAACGACTTATGGCCGGTAGACAAGCACTGCTATGTTGCACTCTCTCTCTGCTCCACTGCCAACATATACGTAAAACGTTGTTCGCTACCACGGCACAAGCTGCAATAACCGCCCGATATCGCTCGCCGCGCGACCTGATCAGGGAACGTAATCTAGCAGCATTTATCTACCGGCGATAATTCGTTATCTTGCTTGGCCATAGATGACTCAAAAGCGAACGTGCTTTCTTCAATTGTCGGTTGATGGTGCTGTAGGCTGCCTGCGACAGAGCACAGGCCATGCGTTTGCATCTTCCCTTTCATAAAGAATGACAGTGTACATTTTCCAAAAAGAGAGGTGCTTACAGTGTTGACATTCTCAAACCTCAGTGAAGGTGGACTCACATTAAAATAAGAAGACAGAGAAAAACCTTGATAGCGAAATGCTTGGGGCCTTCAAATTAGTTTGTCATAGTATAAGCAACAATGTGCCGCATTTTGTGTACACTCAAACCTCGTTATAACGAAGTTGAAGTGGAGCCACAATTGTTTCGTTATATCCATTATTTCGTTATATTGATTATAAAAGTTTGTGCCATTGATGCTCAGATGGGCGCACACCTATAAGCACGCGAAGAAAGAATCCGCCTCGCGGCCCAATGAACTGCTACGTGACCACGCTTGTGACGGAAAATAAACAGTCGAGTCTCATTAATTCGAACATGGTTAATTCGAACTTCCGGGTAATTCGAATCAACGCTGAGGTCCTGTCAAAGCTACGTGTATTCCAATAGGCGAAAACGCCCTGTAATTCTAACGCGCAAGCACTTGCGACGGTTAATTCGAACATACTGCGCTACCAAAATGCTCTCAGCACCGATGCCCAATCCCGCGGCAGGCACTTCTCAACACTGCGCACGAAGGAAAAGAAGAAAAGGAAAGAAGACTGGTGGATTGTTTGCTCTCTCTCAAATGCCAATCTGCGATGCGCCTGATGGCACGCTTCACCCTTTTCTGTCTCTAGACATTCGTAGAGACCCTTCTCCTTTCAAGGCCAAGCACGGAGAAAGAGGAAAAAAAGATAACTGTCGCTGATAATTGTTCCTCTTCAAGATACCCAAAAAATACTAAGGATTTTTCTAGATTTTTACGTAAACTCCTTTCTCGTTACAGAGGGTAGCAGCGGAGACGCAGTCGTTGCCGTCGTCTTTAAGGCGCGTAAAGTGAGAGAGAAATCACTTCGCACCTGTAGCGCCGCTTCTCTGTCATGTGACCCGCTGAGCGCTTCCTGTGCCGTCTCCACTGGCTGTGTGAGAAGGACGGCTCCCTCGGCCGCGCGTGACGTGGCGTGGCTGTAAGGTCGGCGCGGGAGTTTTGAAAGAGCTGCACCGAACAAGCGTCAAACTCCGCAGAAAACTATATATTTAACACATTAGCGGTCGTTTTTTTATAGACTATTGGATAGATTATTTTAGTTCGTTACATCCATTTACTGGTCAATTTTACTTCGTTAAAACAAGGTTTAAAACACATGGTTATCAATGGAGCTTTCAAGGGGAGTTTCATTTACTTCATTATATCCATTATTTCATTATATCCCACTACCTTATAACGAGGTTTGAGTGTATGTACTAATTTTAAAATAGTAATTGTTGTGTTTTATATCCCTAAACTATGATTGATTATGAGGGACACCATAGTCGAGGGTTCTTCAAATTTCGGCCATTCAGTGTCCTATAACGTGTGCCTACATCACACTGAACACAAGTCTCGCTTTCATCAAAAGCCAGGCTTGCACCAGCAATCTTTGGGTCAGCAGCCAAGCACAGTAACAGCTACACACCACCACGATGAATTACTCTAGTATTACTAATCAGTAATACTGCTGCAATAGAAGTGATTGAATTGTGCTAACAATACTAATTATGTATAGTAGACTGAAAAACTTACAAAAGTGTGTAATGAAGCCATGTCCTTTTATCAAAGTTCTCCAATATAGCCCCAGTTCTATGATTATTATATGTCCCAACACAATAATATCGAAAGTAATGATGGTTCACATATTCCCCTCACGCCAAGCCCCAGGTAATCTTTAACTGAGGCTGCTAATTTTTATAATGACAATCAACAGCTAGCTGTTTACCAAGTGCTTGCGAAACACCAGCTCCTTAGTCCCACAGTTAGATAACCAACTCAGCCAGTGCTCGGCTCTTCTAATATTTATGAAATCGCACAAGAAGAGCTCAAAGGTCCACGAGAATTTCTTTTAATGCGAGCTATGGCACACAGACAGGCAGAACGCCTATTTCAGAGCTTCATGCTTGTAACTTGAGAGACTCAAGTAAAAGTGTGTCTTTTGCATTTGCTGAATTCAATGGCAACTGTAGCCTAATGTGAGATACACAAGAAGAAGCGTTAGGACGGTTGTAGTAGCAGTCCATACAGGTGCCAACAGGAAGGAACAAAGTGAGCACGCACACTGTGAGCCGTACACTTCGACAAAGTTGCCAGCCGCCATGGAGAACTGTGCCTCGGGAGGGACATCGCTGGGGTTGGCATCCGGGAATTGGGCGGGTCTGATCTGGTCTGTCGAGGCCATGTGGTTGTAGTACTGGTGCACCCAGGGATACACGATGTGCAAGTTAGTTCCTTTGCACCTAGAAGCGCGAGAAATGATGGCATGGAACCATGGCAGTTTTCTCGAAAATAAGTCGTAGCACAATAAACCCCTTTGTAAGAGACATGCATCGGGGAGCAGTTCTTGTTCCTTATGTGAGGCGTCTCTTACAATCAGGTTACCAGGTTCACATTTCCTGAGCAACCCCTATTTCAGTGTAGGCACAATGGTGTCCCTTGTACTCAACTGTCTGTTACATGTGTGTCTCTTATCAAGGGGTCAGAGTGTATAAAAATGAAGTAGAATTTATTTCCAGTGTTTTACATCAAAGCACTGGAACTATTAAGCACGTAATGGAGGGTGGAGGGTCACATTACCTTTGGCAATGCATAATTCTTTCCACATGCACCTAAATCGATGTAGGCAGGCATTCTTACAATTCGCCCTCAAGTAGCACTTCGGTATGGTCAGGGATCAGTTGGTAAGAGAAAAGAAGGGCCCTGTGCTTAATACAGTAGAAGTGAACCTCCGTATCAAAATATGAATGTAACGAAGTAAGTACACCGGACATGCTAATACCATTTCATAATGAATATGTACGTGCAGCGAACACTGCCAACAGAAAGGGCATGCTCGTGTCAGATTAAGGAAGATGAAATGGCTCCAGCCAGTTTTAAGAGAGCCCGGGAAAGCCGGAGCCATAGTGAAAGAACAGGATGTGGTAAGGGTTCTATGACCAACACGGTCAACTCCTGAGGAAAGGTTCATACCAGTCCCGAAACATCGGGCTCTCTTCAAACCGTGGCCGCCATCATTTCAACTTCCTAAATCTTCTACCCTGCAAGACAAATTTCCATAAAAATGTTCACATTTGATTTGTGTCACTTCACTATGAATGAGGTTGTACTGTACCGACATACATGGCTTTTACAAAGCCATACAGGCTCAATGTCAACCGCAGATTTTTCGCAAGTAAAACAATGTGCTCAGCAGGCTTGAACGTCTGGAAAATAGTAAGGTACCTCAAGATAAGCGAAACATTTTGTTTCAAAACCCGTTCTTTTGTGAGTGGCCTTACCATGACGCCTTCAATGAGAGCAAAATTAATTGACTTGGTTTGAGTGATAAGGCTCGCTTTGACAGCATTGCTTGGAACATGTGTGCTTTGCCTTTGCCACGAAGTACTCGTACTTACCGTGTGACCAGTAAATCAAACAAATGTTGCACTGTGCCCTCGCTTGTGCTACATTTTCTTTACTTACAGTGTCACACTATAACTTACTCTATGTAATGTTTTTCCGGACTGTTCATTTTCTTTCTGTAGTGCCCTAACCATCATAATAACAGAGTTCCACAGTACTCACCGATTCAGAATGAAGTTGGAAGCGAACAGCATAAAAAGACTGAACTCATTCCCCTGGCAACAGTAACCCTGGCGGGCAATCTCGTAGGCTAGCCTGCCGAGGCCTGCTCCCGGCACCAGTATGTGAATGGTGGATGGGTCTCTGAAAGGCAAGACGCACGTCCCAATTCTGTATAATGTCTTTAAAATATGTGTACATGAACAAAATCTCAGCATATTATAAACAGCACGAAACAAAACGAGAGATAAAAAGGACGAACCTACATAGGACGAGCACGGGCTGCCAACTGAAACATTTATTGCGCATAACCCATGCTTAAATAAAAGGCTGTACACCATGTGCACATGAGGCACCGGTTAGAAAACAAGTTAAAAAGTTATGTACCATCTCGCCGAAGAGAATCCTGATGAGATGCAAAGCAGCAGCAGTGCGCACGTTGCTTACGCGGTTGAAACAGGCATCGACAAGAGTGCTGAAAGAACGGTCTGAAGAAAAACTCTATGTAGCATTTACTAGAGCAAAGGTTTGTTCAAAAAGCAAAGACAAGCGAGGCGATTTAGATTTAGTGTAAATTTCATTGCAGATAAAGACTGTTTGCTCGAAAATTGAGAGCGATGGAAAGAGCGAAGTAAGAGAGATGACACGGGGCAAGCGGTGACAGGCTAGGGAGAGAGTGACGTCCACGCGCACGCACTGCGAGGAAAGGCGTGACCTACTTGGCCCCATCCCAACACCTGCGGCCAGGGGAGCGCGGTGCGGACAGAGGAACAGCGTTAAACAAGCTAGTCAAAGAGGTTCTTTGCATCTAAAAACAGCGAATTTGATAACCATCTGTACAGGCTCCGAGAGTTGAGCTCTTTTTCAAGTGAGGCAATTGAGGCTTGAGCAAACATTAATCAGACAGATCACTGATGTGAGCAGCTTCCACAATCTCCTGCAGCATTTGCCCCCTGTGAGGTTACAAAGTGGTTGCCAAACAGAGGAACACATTCACAATCGCAACAGTGTAGCGACAAGTGCTAACTAGCATAGCCTTCTAGAGAGTTATTGTGCTCATGCAGGCACACATTCATACAGCACCCCATCTGCCGAACATACTCACGGTCACATGAAAGTGGGATCAAGTATAGTACCACAGATGTACAGCAAGGAATGTATTTATTCATACAGCTGACTTGACGCGCACTTTCCCGAAGTCTGCGATCTGCCAGCGATACGATGGCCAACTTTCACACAAAGCTTGCCCAGCTTATTTGGGGGCAGATTTTACAAAATCAACATTGGAACGAGAGGTGACCATTTTTTCTGCAATGGGCCAAGCCATGCGCATAGGGGAGGGCAGCTATGTTCCTACGCTGCTCTCGCTCACACCCTTGTTCTACTCTAGTTTCACCCTTCTTGATGTACCATACCAGCTTGTCCGCAGCAGAAGAAAGCCTTTCCTCGAAAAAGCCAGACTTCTTAAGTGTCGAAGGCAGCAAGCTGAGGGTGTAGTACATCATGTGAGGACAGGATTTTTTAATCGCCAAGAGAATATGTGACATCACTACAAAAAATTTTTATGAGTTTCATGTGGCCCGAAAAATAACTTACAGTGGTTTTATGGACCTTGGGGCAGGTTTTCAACACGCATGTGCAGGAGAAAACATTAAACACAGGTGCAGAAACTGAATGCACCCTTCACTCATGCACTCTGGAATAAACTTCAAATTTGTAACTTTTCTTGTGCTTCTACTACGAGACTGGGACCACCATATCCTCAAAGCAACAGACGATGGCCAAGCAAAAAAAATGCACAGCAAACCACCAAGACCCCTTCATGGAATGTGACAAGAAGATTGTGTATAGTATTTCCTTAACATGCAGTCGAGAATACACAGGGCAGACAGGATGCTGTGTTAATGAACATCTTCTAGAACACAGATACGCCTGCCAGAAATCGCAAGGAGCAGGTCCCTTTGCAGCACATCGCCAATGATGCTCTTACACACCGAAGTTCCGCGACACCACATTTGTGGTGGTAACAAAGATATCGAAGAGTTGAAAGAACCCCATTTTCATCGTACTAACTAATGAGAACAATCTCACTACCTTCAATGCAGAAATAAATAAATTTATAGACGGTGACACACACTGATCCCCCCAAAATGTGTCCATGCTTACAAAGGCATATGTTACGGCCTAGCATCATCTCTGTTTTGCTTTCAAGAGTACTTTTTGCAACCTCCCGTCTTTCCTTTTCTCCCACCTATTTGATCGTCCACCTTTATTTGACGTGTTGCAATATGTGAATAAAGCGGCGGTGAGCTTGCACACCACCTGTCTTGTTGCCTGTGTCCTACAGTATGAAGCACATGAAGACATAACAATCGAATTGAAAGTACAGGATGGGAGACAGATTTAGTGTGACATCTACAAAGGCTTTGCACAACAACTCTGGAGTGCACTGTATGTCTACAAGCCTAAAACACAATCTGAAACACAGTGACTCACTGAATAGCACTAGAAAAATACAGACAGGTAAAAGTTATATGTGACAGGCAGATGCGACACACTGTTCAATAAGTCGCCCCGCAACTTACACACCCACCCAACATGTCACACTTGTCATAAAGGGTTATAGAAAAGGGTTATAGAGTTGTTGTAATAGAGTTATAGAAACCTTTACGGCCTGACACACACAAACGGGTGGGAGAACAAAGACGTTCCCTGAATGGCAGGGACTTTAGTTTCAACTTCATAACTCCTGTGCCACTCATGTAAATGCTTACGAGAATACATTTGTTTCAGTAGTTCTCGAATTTCGTCACCAGAGGGTGACCAAGCACCCATCGAAAACTGCGTCGGGGCAAGTGCATCCACGACGGCTCCCTTACACTTTTGAATGAACGTTCCTGCATGTTCTACATGTTTTTTCGGGAGTACATGCATATGAAAGTGATAATAAGACCTTAAAAAACGTGTACCACTAAAAAAAATTGTCATTTTTGCCTAGAACGTTCCGTTCTCGAGCGTTAAAAAGTTACATGCACGTTTGTGTACGGACTGTATGTTTGTGCAGTCAGGTAATACTTGAACCACTGCCTTCCATCGGTGATTGACCCCTTTCTGAGGTTTACATAGTGAATATCCAAAAATGACAGGTGCTGCACAGATCGCTCTAGGCCTAAGTTCAGTATGTTCCTGCCACTCACACTTCATTCAATGGGAAATGTTCAGAAATGGCGTCCAAAATTGGTTGGAAGCACGCTCGCCGTTCCTCGGCCCCCTCGGAACTCCATTCCCGAACAAACTGCTTCAGGACAGCCTGCACTTTGTCCATGTCTAACGATGTGGCCTGAATCTGTAAAGCACGGAAAGAACCCAATGAAGTAAGCTGATGGCATCATTTTGATGTTTTGTAGCAACACCGACCCTCAGTAGCCGTAAATTGTCTTAAAATTAATTCAATATGAAAAGAATATTTCTGTATTTTGAGTGCATTGTTTCTGTATTTTGAGTGCATTGCATAACGGTGATTTATATTCCCCTTGTCTTTTATTTTTAAAATGTATCCCTCTGTCGCCATGTTCATATCGACAAGTGCTGTATTCCCTCAAATTTACCTCGCCCTGTATAGCCTAAAATGTGATTTCATTTATATATATAGTTTTTCGTTGTTCTTGCACTGATCCTGCCTGTAAACTGTTCGTTACCTGTCTGTACCATCCCGATTCCTCCCCACCTTACCCGATGCCCTGTTCTGGGGCCTGTAAGGTTTTTTTTAAATAAAGAATAAAGATAATGTGGTAAAAACACAGAATGTGTAAGCAGAAAGAAAAACAAAAGTGGCATTGATCAGCTCTAGAGCCTTCAGTTAAAGGAATTTGGGAGGACACCCAAGGAAACTATTTTAAAGAAGTTTAATGATGTGTGCCCATGAGATAAATCAGTTCTTTTTATCATACCCAGTTCTTTTTATCAGACTTTACGGACAAAGCAAGAATGTTTAAGCTGAGAGTGCTTTCTCACTGACATGGCTTTCTCACAGAGGCCGGTCGCACCACGGTATAAAGAGCGCAGCTGTGCCAAGATCTACCATACACACTAACCGTAGCCTATCACAGAATAACTTTCTGTGTTAATATTCTTTGAAAAGATGTTGCTCATTCAAAAACCGCAGTACTTGGTGTTTCGTGCTCCAACTCTCTGTACTGCTTCCTGCAATGTGCTGTTATGCTCAAACAGTGACAAGAAAATCAAAGGGATTAAAAAATCTTTAACAGAGAGCGTCACTGGAACCAATGTCTCTGCAAGTCCACTTGCTAAAGCGGTGAAATCCCATGCTGATGAATTTTTCATTTCTTCCAGCTTCTAATCATTCCCTGAACATCCGCTTTTTCAAGAAGTACAGACAACACTCAGCTAACCAAGTGAACCAACCTGGTTCGTAGGTTTAACGTCGTCGGAGTGGTCCACATTCTCAAACATGTGGGCTATGTTGGCCACCACGAGCTTGAGAACGTCATGATTGTGGTCAATTGCCATCCGTACTCGATCCAGATGCTGCCGGTAGTTCTTGAGCATGAGCTGATGGGATGGCGGTAGACTCGACACATATTTGACCACTTTACACAACCGTCGAAGGGAGTAACTCCTGCAAACGAGTGTTAACAGCCGTTCGATTTGCAAATCAAGTCACAACTGGACACACTTTCCTGTAGGTAACACTGGCAATCCAGTCAAGGTAAGTGTTTGCCATTTACTCTGAATAAACAAAACCAAGACAATGTAGCAGTCGCCATCATAACTTTACCTAGAAAGTACAAAGTTGGTCGCAATAAGCAGATTGGTTACTAAACTCAATTCCCCTTCAAGAAACATCTACAATAAAGGTTGATTGATTGATGTGTGGGGTTTCACCTACAATAACGGTTACTCGCTTGCCTTTGATAAGACTCGGTAGGTGTTTCTGTGCGTTCTGTAGCATTTATCACATGAAAAGTATCTATATTCTGGTGGCGATGTGATGGAAATGGGATCGTCGAACAGTTACGGACTGTCAAGTGCCATCATTACTTATAATGCTATAATAACTGCTTATTATTTATTTCTTTGATAACCTGAGGTTACAAGATAAAAAATTCGTCAGTAATTAGACTACAAACCAAGCATGCTCGAATTGGTGTGATACCTGCTAAGTCTCGGTTCCCAACTCCTTTATAGTCATCCAGTTGGGGAGCCTGTGCTTCAACTGTCAACAGAGAAACACTGCACAGTTCGCATTATAGTAGCTAGAATTCCGGCTAACAGAATATAGAATTTTCCCGCTCAGTATAGACTGCTTAGTCGTGCATATTACAGAAATTTCAAAGAAAATGAAGCACCTGCTTAAGCAATAACCGGCGTAGTTTACCCGTTAAACTTCCAACATGGTACGCCCGGTTTTACAACTCAATCATAATGTGGCACCAGAGTCACGTATCTTTATTTGTAAGACATCACCGCAAACACGCAACGTACACGAGTAAAGAAGCTCTTCTTAAGCATTACCTATATGACCTAAAAGCGTTCACAATTCTTTGAAAGTGTTTTCGCTCTTCCGGATCGTCCACACCACTCGCACTGCCACCGATGCTGTTGCCGGCCATCTTTCGTCAATTAAGTTTTTTTTTTTTTTTATGAATGTGGCCAACCGAACAGCAGTCTCGCGACAAAACGTTGTAATAAACCACAGTTGTGAAAAAAATATTGATTGTATTGACAATAATCTGTTGATCTTGATAGTAAAACAATAAGATAATGTAATTGTACTGTGCAATTATTGAAGGACGGCGATAGTGGCACTGTAATCCTGTAACCTACTGTAACTTTTGATTCAAGTTACACTTGTTGATAAATGATCTGAAGAACATTGTAGTGAAATTATTTAAAATTGTAAAGATGTAGAAAACAAAATATGCAGAATATTTTCACTCGAAGAGAAATAAAAAAAAGATTGACTTCGTCATTTTCGTATTCCGTTGCTGCTGTGTGGTGGTGGTGGTGGTAGTGGTTAGAATGAAGAGGAAAAAGGCACCTAATTTCTGTCTGCCTTCGGGCGACACGGCGCAGTGCCTTATAGGGGTGGGGGGAAGGAGGGATAAAAAGAATAGAAGGAAAATAGACGGAGAAGAAGACAGCCAAGCGAGAGAAAAAGAAGCGCTGTGTGCGCGTGCGCGCATGAGAACCAATCGCGAAAAGGGAAAAAAAAAGAAAGAAAGGAAGGCTGGAGCACGGGAAAGAACAGCGATATCTGAGTGGTGGGACGCTTAGCAAGGTAGCACGCATTTGATTGAGACCGAGACATTGTGGTCGTCTTCTCATCGGCATGATGTCGAAAGCGACGGGGAGCGCGAAAGCGCTGACCTCGTTGATGGACATGATGCAGGATCAGGAGGCGCAGGCCAAGGCAGCGCGGAATCCGCCAAACTTCTGGGACCCCATCTCGTACGAATATGAGCAGCCCACTCCGCAGTGTCTTCTCAGGGCTAAACGGTATTGACCTGCTGCTGATGTTTCCGCGTCGTTTCTTTGCGTTTGCATGTGTCGCACGCGCCTCGATTTTTCCAGCTGGCATCGCTGTGACCTCCAGGACGAGAAACGAAACTATGTTTGGTCACAAAGCAGTTGGTTTTGTTTGTTCCGGGCCGATTTGCGGCATCGGTTTGAAGCAAGCTACGACTTCGTCGCAGCCGTTGCTACCCGCGATTCTCGGTAGTTCGTTCAGCGCAAACTTAACAGTTCGTCAAACGAGGCACCCTGAATTCACCGCACAGCTACTCCGCAAACCTCATGTTCGAAGTTGGTCCTAAATTTCGCTCTGTTCCGCTGGCGCGAATAATTCCACCTCGATGGTTTGGCTATCCGACGAAATTTTTGGCGTCGCGTCGTGTCATAGTGTGAGCGTTTGCGAATAGACGCGCCATGTCGTTAATGAACGAAGGTTAAGAGTGTCACAGCAAAACACGTAGCTTAACGATTAGTTGAAACGACGAAGATGTAGTCGTATTGGCGAGTGAGAATCTTTATCGAAAAAAAAAAAAAAGTAATAACAGTGCATCGATCGAGGTGACACCTGATTGACGGAGCACGTGTTTTTCTTGTTTTAACGTAATAGCGAGAGCGGATCGTGTCGCCAGTTGCGTTTCGCGACAAGCACTCTTTGACAGTGTCGTGTGTGAATACTAGATGGTTCTGCGTCATGCAGATTTATCGCAGCTGCGCCAAGGCTGCGGTGCACAGTAAGCGATTGCCTCCCTTTTTGCATAATTTTGCGATTCAAGTCGTTCACCACCCTGCAATTCACACACGATGTTCATTTCATGCGTAGGTGGATCTGTAAAGCGCCGTGTTATCCTCGATATTGACAGTTGGTTATGGAAGTCGTTCGCAGAGTTTAGTTTTTTTTTTTTTTTTGGCTAAGCATTGCGAAATACAAAACGCGATAAAAAATTCAAAATAAAATGTCTCCTTATGAACCTGATATGATGCAAAATTTTAGCTAAAGGGACCCGGAAATTATTTTAGCGGTATTAATAAATTTCGCTTCTACATTTCCAGAAAAGCCACCTACCACGTAAAGCTTGGTAGTCCAGAAATGATTTAATTTTAAAGTTTTACGACCACTAGATCACTTATGTCACAGATTTTAAAAGTTTCTGCTCAGGCCATGCAAACTGCTTATCAATATGAATGGATTGCATTGTATTCTAAACAATTCAGTCACTGAACTTTGGAAGTTTCAAGTTACAGTACACAATGACTGCCAAATAATGGAAATATAAAAAAAAACTTTCGAGGTTCTTGATGTCAGGATGATATGACAGGGACACAATGGTAACACAAAATACTACAGGAACTTCGGCCCATGTTCTAATTTTATTATTAAACTCTTTCTGGATCATTCACAGAAAAACAGTTGTGGTATACTAGTTAGAACAAACTACTCATGCACAACGGCTGCACTTTTTCAAAATGAATACAGCAGTGCAAGTAAAATGAGGAAACCTAGTGCATTAAAACTTTTAAAGAGCCTGACAAATTGAAGGCCTCTGGATAGATTTAAAATACTAGTGGTCCATATGTACGCACCTAGATTGATTGCACATCATCTTGAAATAACCGGATTGGCAATTAGCTGCAAAACAGTGTAGTTGCGTTGTAATTATAGATCTGAAGGAGAGCAAATGCAAGTGTATTGTCGCGTTGTAGTGCTTATCATGTGGAAGTCACCTGCATAGTAGCAGTAACAGGGAGTCAGGGTGGTGTAAAGGCGTACCTTTGGCATTGTTGTAAGAATACTCACTAAAATACTCTGGGCGAAACATATATTATACACCCTATAATAGACTTGTAGCAGAGTTATGCATAACTGCAAAAAACATGTTCGTGCCACTAATCTAGTATTCTACAAGAAGGGAATACCAAAACTGTATAAATTGGAGTTAGCTATACGACTAATCACACCATTTTAATAATCATTATTTGACCGGTTATAAAATTGCCCTGTTAACTTTCAGTTATTATATTTGTGTCACTTACACAGGCGTGTTTGTGATGTCTGTTGACAAATGCTATATTTTGAATGTACAGACTTCTGTTTTCTGCCCTATAGAGACATCATGGATATCTACACCCAGCCTCCCCCTGGAGTTTTCATTGCACCAGAGGAAGAAAACATAACCAAGGTATGCGAGCCTACAGTGAGATGCTAAGTATCAATAGAATTGCAATGTTAACTAAAGTAGTATTGGCCAACAGCAAGGAAATTCTGTATTTTGTAAGCAGCCTATAAATAGGCAGACTTCGAAACTGTTCAAAATTGTACATTAGAAATATGAGTGTATGGCATGTTTAGGTACAACAAATTTTTTTTTCAGATGTGAGTCTGCACTCAATCCTGTTCCTTCTGCTTTAATCTGTCTTTGTCATTCTCGCACTCTACTTAAACATGCCACCTTACCAACCAGCTCAACTTTCAATAATACCATTGCAGTGTGTGGCATTTCAAATGGCTGACAAATTTTATACTAAAATTGGAAACCACTTGATTGTTTCCAACTTGATTATGATCTAATAATGTTGTGCAAGTTCTCTTGAACTAGTAGCCAAATTGATTTGCCACGGATTTACGAGTTTCCTAAAAGCTGCATTCCTGTGTTGATCTGCAGATCCATGCACTGGTTCTGGGCCCCTTTGACACCCCGTACGAGGGTGGATTTTTCCACTTCATTATGAAGTGTCCAGCAGACTACCCAATTCAGCCGCCACGGGTTCGGCTCATGACCACTGATGGAGGTCGGGTGCGCTTCAATCCAAACCTCTACAACAACGGCAAAGTGTGCCTCAGCATCCTCGGGTGAGGGAATACTCCTTCGGCATAAGACCTTTTGTTGGCCATTATTCATATTGCAGTTTAGGGACATTAAACCCGATATATCTTGATTGCTGTTGCCATTTCTTTGGCAACACTGTTGCGGTGCCTTGCAAGTAGGGAATGTTCTTGATCTTACCAGATAGACTTTACTGTGCAGCAAGTAGAGCTATACTATTGAGCCCGGCTTTATCGTGCTGAAGTACTCTCTTGAATTATTCTTTGCATTGTAAATTCCAAGCATCACTTTGATTGTATGTGGCAGTAAAGGAGCATTGTTTTTTTAATTAATCTTCAATGGCTTGATATAGCATACCTGCCAAGTCTCCCGGATTCACCGGGAGACTCCCGAATTTTGACTTTTTTTTTTTTCAATTGTACGGTCGTCATGAAAATCTCACGGAAATCGAAGTTTCTGTGCGTGATCTGGCCGCGTTGACAAAAAAGCAGCTCGATCTGCTCCAGGCTTTTCGAACCTACCAAATTTTATTATAGATCAGTTTAACAGGCGATCATCTAAACTAACGCCTCCTTTATTAACATGCCTGACAGATGGCTCGTGTTGCCAGCGGAGTCGCCATGACTTCAGTTTTGAGCAAGCGTCGCGCAGTGGTGCTCGCGACCGACACTGTTATCACGGCGTTTTTTACTTGTGGCCCCTAGGGGCTCGTCAGTCGAGCATTATTCGAGATCTGCAACTATACTATTTCGGAGGCTATGCAAAATGTCGAGTTGTTGCACCGTCTGCCACAGGTGACGCTAAAGACCGACAGTAATCGGAAATGAAGGAGGGAAAGGGTGTGGCAGCTGTTTTGGTTCTCATGCGGCAGGCATCTAAATAGAGAAGGCGTTGTCTAAACGTACAGTATAATCTCAGTGATGCGAACCGTGGCAGATAAGAATTCTCGAAATTCCCCAGCCAAATTTTACTATGTTCATTGGGCCTCAATTCGAATGTTCGCAACACATTTCCTAATCACGGTGGGTGATATGAGCTTTAGTATGGAAACCATCGAACGAAGGCAGAGAGCAGCGTACTCGAAGCTTCGGCACATGCACTGTCTTCTACAATACATGTGATTGTCACGATTAAGTCTGGCGACACGATCATGTATGGCGATGATGTAACTGACAGAACCCTGAAAGTGTGCGCTCAACCAGCCAAAGCAACGCTGCTTTCCGCAAACTCTGCGGACAAAACTGCGGCAGATGCTATTATAGGTGGCATAAAACGACTTAGTTTTGAAGGCGCGTGCGCAGCCAAGCGCATGGGGATTGTAAAATGAACTACCGTGTGCCGCAATCGCCACCCACAAAATCGTGGTAGCGGCGACGCGAGAGCAATCTACGAGCTCCGAGGGCACGCAGCGGCAGGTTAAAAAGCAGTAAATACGTAAAAAATAAAAGAAAGTTGCAGTTTCGTGGCAAGGGCGAAGCAATAAATGCGACAGCAACAATTTGGAATGCAACACAGAGAACAGCAAGCAGATTGAAACGTGCAGCGCGCTGCTCACACACAAATGACCCACGAAAACGATACTCACAGGACAAGAGCGAACTAACAACGTTTACCGCTCGACACGTAACGCGCTGTTTAAACAAAAACTATGCACAATAAGTAATCACAGGCACCGATGAGTACAAATTAACAAGTGTCCCAGTTATACCTCGCTGTGTGTGAAAAGCGGGCTGTTTTCGCAAATAGGGTCTGTGCAGAGACCAAAGTGACCTTTGTGGACCCGGCAACTAACGCTTTCGTTTCAGTGAAAGCCGAAAGCGCACAATTCCCCCACCAAAGGATAAGCGGGCGCGCACAGCCATCTACCCCTCCCCCCGCCCATCTATGGGGCAAAGTACACGTGAGAGATAAGACGATCGTTGTAGCGTGAGAACAAAACGACGACACAGAGACAGGAAGCACACAAGTGCTCTGTGTCATCGTTATGTTCACGCGCTATAACTATAATCATGTCATACCAACTAGCCCAAGCTGCGACCTTCTATGTGAGAGATAAGCAGGCGTCGGCACCGAGTGCGGGCAGCTTTTTTTCTTTGGGTGCTCATATATATAGATACGTATACATATGCGTTGGATGGCGGTGGTGGCGACGGCAAAAAAAAAAACAGCCTGGACTGTCCATATAAATGCTATCACAATAAAAAGGGGCCAAACGCGTTTTGGCGTTCTTGTCAAAAGAATCTAGCAGTGAGCAAAGATTTGACCCGCGCTTTTGCGGCAGCCGGCTGCGCCGTCCCGTTTGTTCACGTGTGTCCCAGGAAGACACACGCGAGTTGTTTTTGACCAAAATAGATTTTGCTATGTGTTTTGATCCTTTGAGACTGGATCACCTTAGTGAAAAACTCTACCCTAGTGTGTTCGGCTACTCCTAGCCACTATAAGACAGCAACGCTGATGTTGGGGCTTGCGATTGAGACCCCCTTTCCCACCCCCTTCTGTTTTTCGCGATGTTTTTTGTTTATTTGTTTGTCCTTGGTTTTTTGTGCCCCCCCCCCCCTTCCCCTGTTGTGGAAGTCTCCCGGATTCAGAATCCTTGAATTTGGCACGTATGATGATATAGCAAAGTCAAGCCACCTGTTGCTTGTTGCTGCTTTTTTATTTTTTCATGGTGTTGTTGGCATAGCGTGGCTAGTAGCCAAAGGTTGCATGGATGACACAACTGGCATGTAAATTTATTATCTCGTAAATAGAGAAAGTTTTTTCGAGTCAGTCTCAGTGAATCTTATTATTGGATCTCAAGTTTGCTCCTAAAGTTTTCATCACAGTGTTTGCTGCCTTTGGATGTACCACTTGATAGGCTCCCCATAGCGACGGTCTTAGGCAAGCAGAGAATTGTGGAGGTTTCAACAGGAGCTTATATTGGCTTATAAAATTTAGCACCTTCGATTACAGGTATATCAAGGTATCCGGCAATCCCCTTGGAATTTGATGAATATTGGCTTGAATGTAGATAGAGCTTAACAGGAGAAAATTTCTGAATTTTAATCTTCACTATTTCTATTACCTTCCTGGAAACTCCCATTTTTTTTAGTTTGACCCTCATCATTACGAACCTATTTTTGCTTTTACTTTACAACTCATGTTGCTGCAGCACTGCTGTATTTTAGCATTGGTGCTGCGCACAGTACATGAAAAATTGTGGGGTTCATATTTTTTCTAGACTTCTCTGCCGACTGTAGACGGGCCTTGTTTTTGAATGTAGTCGGGACATGCGTGGACAGTGTGCACTTCACATTTGAGCTTTTTTTTTTCTTATGCTCCTGACAGAACGTGGGTTGGACCTGCTTGGAGCCCTGCCCAGTGCATATCAAGCGTGCTGGTCTCCATTCAGTCTCTAATGACCGAGAATCCATACTACAATGAGCCTGGCTATGAAACGGTGCGCTCTTTACGTCACCGTTTTATCTGTTTAAATAGTGTCCGGAGTGTGTGCTAACATGAACGGGAATGGTCAGCCACCACTCTATTTTCTCCCGCTGTTTTTGTGGTGTACATACGGCATTTACTCGCGTAATGAACCCACTTTCATAATAAGCCCTCCCCCCACCTTGGTCCTTGAGGAAAGAAAAAAAAATCTCTTTACTGTATCTGTTCATTTTATTTTTATATGATAGCTAGTGCCGTTGACAATCGAAACAACGTTAAACCAAGCCATTATATCGCAAAATAACGCAATAAAAGTCAAAACATAGTTTCGCGACCATGTTAAACAGTTGCAAGCAACACGAGCGCAGATGCCGTCAGTCAGTCAGTCGCGCCGTTTGCGGCAAAGTGCTATCTGTCAAATGCAGGAGAAAACTCTTTGCTCTAAGAGCCACGCAAGCACGGTGGCACAAAACGAAACAATTCCTTCCTCAATGGCAAAAAACAAAGCGCGTGACCTCCGAAAGTGTGGGCAGGCGGCGCAGAAACACGGCGCACGTGTGCCATCTCAGAGGCCATGCAGAGCGCAACCGCACCCACCACGCCGACGGCACATCGCGCACCAGCAACTGTCTCTACCCGACGCTTATGCGCTGCCACCCGAAGCTGCGTTTTTGTTGTCGGGTTTGTCGTTGTGAACTTAGTTGAGACACCTGCTGCGCAGGGCGCGTTCGGCCGGTACGCTAGCCGCACAGCTGTTTACAAACAGCATGCACTAGAGCATTGGAGCCGAGCGGCTAGATGACGCCTTGGTGCAAATTAGTGCGCTTTCGTTACAGGAGGCAACAAAATGAGCTTCGGGCTACAAAAAAAAATATGTTGCACATACGACGGGCCAAAACAAGCAAAACCGTCATGCGAAATTTTCTCTGTTATAACTCCCGTAATTTTTTTTTCTGGCGTTCCCCCGAATTAGCGTAAACTTTTCTGAGAAAAAAGGGAAAAAAAGGTGGGTTTATTATGTGAGTAAATATAGTACATTAGATAGCAAGTTAATTTTCTGGAAGCCAGTTGAGTGCTGAGCAATTCGCAAAAGCAGTAAATTTCCAGTTACAGTTGCTGACTGTTTATTCTGGCTCTTGGGAACCGCCGGGAAATTCGAATTATTGAGAATCTGAAAGAAAAATTTACTAGAAAAAAAAAGCACCCTTATTAGCCCATTGGTCTGAGAAACCTGTCAATGCAGGTCTGTGCACACAAACAGGATCACCGACGTCCAATTCTGCCTGTGTTTCAGCCAGTGTTTGGCCATAACTGCAGGTTTAGCACTGTTATAGCATTTGCTTAATCTGCATTTGATAAGTGGTGTGGACAGCACTTTATCGAAGTCATTGGAGGGTCATACCATGCAAATCGTCTAGCGTTTTTCCGACCATCGTGAATATGCCTAAAAAAATTTAACATGTTTCTCGAATTTCGAAACTCGTCCTTATTATTTCTGTTGCCAAAAATTTTCTTCCTTGTTTATGCGAGTCTATAGTAGGGTGCCGGCTTAATTTCTTGCAAAAATTTTTTTTTTCGAATGCTCTCGATAAAATTGTATTTGCGAAAAGGTAATGAAGTGATGTAACCTGTAAAAATAATGACGTATATATCAATTCATCGAGGGCTTTTCCCACGAGCAATATTGATTAAAATTGCTTAATTTTTTTGGGGGGGGGGGGGGGGGGATATGGCAAGCCCAAAAAACACAAGTAAAATATGTGCTGGTGACCTGTTCACTTTGTTTGGAAATAACTCCGCATTCAGCGTCAAAAAACTTCCCTTGGTGGTCAGACTAAAAATAGGCTCAATATCTCAATTCAAAGCGCCATGTATTAGCTAAGAATAAGTGAAGTGACTAGAGGGTATTATTTTTTAAACTTGAGAATACTTTTTCGAAATTATGTATCTCCACCATTTCTTTGCTTATGTAAACCACGCGGCACGATGTTCTTGCAAGGGCAATCTTGAGCAGAAGCCCACTTGGTGCTATCTATAACTTGGTGCTATCTATACTTGGTGCTATCTATAAGGCAACCGAAAAAGGAAATGGAGTTATCATCTGTGTTCCATTGCCAACAGAGGTGCGCTACAAGGAATGGGGTCAGTGTGGTGCCTTCCAGATGAGCGATCCAGCTTTAGAGATTTAAAGTCCGACATTCTACTTTGCTGGGGAGCTCTGCAAATGCAGAAAGTGTGTTTTCTACACTAATAAAAATATGTATTCGTTTTCAGTACATACGTCTTACAGCACGCTAGTAGCATTGATGCAGTACACTGATAAACACAAGCATATTAGAAATGCTTCATTTTTTCCGGCTTGTAGGAGAGCACTCTGCTCCCAGAGACCCAAAACCTGTCATATGGCTACACGAGTGAAATTGATTTTTTGCAAAACTTATCCTCGGGTCATTTGTACCTTTGAGCACCCACTCTCAAATTACTCACGCCAAATTTGGTCGGAAAATGTGATAAAATGGGCCTTTAAAGCAGCCCGAAAGCATTAATATGCCCCCAAAAGATTGAAATTTGTTCCAACTTCGCGCGCGCGCCATGAGCCTTGCAGTGGGCCGAGCACCGCCATCTTGAGCTAGATTTGAAGCTGTATCCTTTGTGCGAAATTTGTGCCATCTGGCCGCCACCGTGGGTTTTCTGAAGGTCATTCACGGATGCTCTGATTGGCTCTTACTCTTTTGAGTGCGCAATACCGAGCAAAAAGCGCTGTTCCACGTCCCATTGGCTGGTGTGACCAATGCATATATATATTTTTTTTTTCTTGCGCGTTCGCTGTGGTGACTGTCCTATCGTGTACGTCTGCTCTTGTGCTCGTGCATGTTTCTCCATGCGCCGTGTTTGTGCTTTGTTTGCGCCGGTAGTTTATCTACGTAATCGAGATATCCAGAGACTCTTGTCTGAAACTGTCCTTGCAACGAGCTTTTGGAAGTGGTTAAAAGTGGACTTAGAACTAGAAGGCGCCGACTAGAACAGCATCATTGGGACCAGAGTTTGGTTGAGTCGGTGCCCATTAGGCACCTTTAGGTTTACGATACGCTCTGCAGCCAGAATAATCGCGCAAGCAGCGGAACAGAGCGCACATGTTACGCTCCGCTTACGAAGGCGATTCAGCGAAAGGTGAAGGTGCGTTCGCTTGGTTTCGCCGCGATTTCGCAAACGTGCTTGTCAGAGACGCGAAATATATGCAGTTCCCTGTTCACCCTGCACTGTCTTGGGACTGCTACACCTGTGCGTGGCTGAGAGTAAGCGACCTCATAGTGACCTACCATACTTACTCGCGTAATGAGCGCAGTTTTTTCTTTAAAAAATCGGAGCAAAGTTATGGCTGCATTTATTATGTGGGGCAAACTTTATGAAAAAGTTTTTGAGATAAGCAAAAATACGGTACAGCAAAAAAAAAGTTAGGCCACTTAATCTTTCACAATTAAAATACGCATACAGTGTTTGGGAACAGCTTCTTTGTTAGAGCTCACTCATCTTTGGTCGTTGATGGCACTATCTTCTGCAAGCTGTCCCCGCGCCGCCCGCGCGGGGACAGCTTCAGAAATTATTTTCAGAAAAATTTCTGGTGTATTGTTGCTGATAGTGCGGGTTATACGTGAGAAAATATGACATATGTGAAGGGTAGGGCCAAAGTGCAAACGTAATGTCGTAATCATGTCACAGTGTCACGAATATCTCGTTTGTTTTGCCAGAGCTGGTGCTACCCGGTTTCCATTCTTATTGTAAGTTGTCCCCACCCCCAGCTTAGGATTTCAAGTCTAGATAAAATGGGTTGACTTCTAATCATATAAATATAGCACCTGTTTGTAGCAAAATACTACCAATGAAGTCTTTGCGGTTTTTTTTTGTCTTTTTGTTGCCACCTTCAGGAAAGATGGCCGGGCGAGGCAGCTCGGTACAACACCATCATACAGCATGAGACAATCCGGGTGGCCGTCTGCAACACCGTCGAAGCCTGCCTCCAGGGCAATTCTCCATGCCCAGCACCTCTGAGGTTAGTGCACCTTGCACTAAAACAGCTACGTGACGTCTCTTACAGATGCCAATTACTAATTTAAGGGTCAATTATGCCAAATTGTAAGCAGGTGAATCATTAACAAGAAAATGATTAGTTTGAAATAGTTTTGCCTCCTGAAAGTTGAGACAGTTGATCCTGGACATGTATTTGTTTGACGATTAGCGTGTGCACGATCATTCGTGTGGCACTGTGGCATTGCTGCTAAACTTGTGGATGCAGAGTAGAATATTGACTGAAATTTCAAGCATCTCACTGCGTGTAGTGTTACAGTCCAGACTGATCGAGCGACCGCATGCTACGTTTACGTCCAAGTCGTGCAGAACCAGCTATATTTTTGGCATTGGGTGCATCTCTAGCAATCCATCAGCCATGTTGCTGGGACCTTCTCCAAGCTGAAACTAGAGAAGCCTTGTTGATCTAGAAGGGGCTAACTGTTTCTAAACTGATGGCCGAGCCTCTAAAGCTGTAACAATCTTGGAATAACCAGTGTACAATTTACATTTTAAACAGTCGCCTTACTAAAAGCGTTGATAAATGCATGACCAGGCTGTGTTGATCAAAGGCAAGCATATGTGTGTACAGTGCTGCATTGACATACACAGTTCGCAATCTTTGAATATTGCTTGGTAAGATATAATTTTTCTGATCAAAAAACTGTGCTAAAGTTTTAATGTGCAGTTTGCAGTACAATTTGTGCTCGTATTCTCCACTTCGTTTCATGTCTTCCGCCTAACTTAGCATTTCGCATTAACTGTAGTGCAGTTTTTTTTAATTGTGAAGAACCAACTAGCCCAATACCTCACTTAGCTCATTATGCTTTTTCTTTGGTGATGTTTTGTTTGATTAGCATTGGTTGTATAGATGGTCAAATACTTCTGACATTGTCCATCTCAGTGGTGTAGCGGTCACGGTGCATGGCTGCTGATCTTAAGGTCCCGGGTTCGATCCCGGCCGCAGCGGTCGCATTGTAGTGGAGGCAGAACGGTAGAGGCCCGCGTACTGTGCGATGTCAGTGCGCTATTAAGAACATCGAATGGTCAAACTTTTTAGATTCGTTCACTGTGGCGTCTCTCACACATACCTACCAACTCTTCTGAATTTTCTGGGAGACTCCCGAACTTCAACCTAGTCTCCCGATCGTACGAATGTGATCTCAAAGCTACTGAAATGTGGCCGCCACAGCCCAGGCATTTTTTCAACCGCGTGCATACGTTGGCTCTCTTGCTGTGACACTTGCAGTGCTGTGGAACTCGCCACTACACTTATAGTTCTTTGCATCCATATCATAGAGTACCACTAAGTATATTCCATACACCATATATAGCACCGCGCATCTGGCGATGGCCGGCGGCCGCAAAACACGCCTGCCACCATATACCAAAAGAAGGCGAGGGAAAAGGTACCACAACTTTTTTCTGTTAGACTGTCTTGGCCCCCCGCATTTTGTACGCTAGGCCTATGCCGCTAGCCCAGGCGTCACTTCCATTTGTCACAGATTCTATACCATGTGTGCCTGTGATGAAAGTGTTTTGCACAGCGGCAAGGCTGACATAAAAGGTGTAAATCACTTCACAGAAGCATCGGAACTGCACGTTTGTGCTTCTGAAGGGCAAGGCAACATCGGAAGCTTCTTCCGAAAGAGTTGAGAAAACAGTGCGATCCACACAAAAATCCTGTTCACGGGACTTCCTGCGGAACACAACTTGCCAGTGAGCGTTAGTGATCACGCGGGACCGTTGTTTTGGGAAACGTTCCCGAAGTGCGAAGACGGGAAGCTGCACAGATGCCGACGTACGGGAACATCTGCCATTGTTAGGGCTGCAGATGCCGAAAACACAATGGTGGAAGCACTGAAACAGCGTTCTTTTGCACACTCAGTGGACAGACAGTTGGTTGCACATGTCTCAGTCTCGGTAATTGCCAATATGCTAAAAAAGGGGGGGGGGGGAAGAAGAGAGAGACTTTAGCCCCTTATGTGGTTTCCTAATTTTCATGCTGCTAGATTGGCAGGTATGCTCATAATAACATAGTAGTTTTGGAACGTAGAACCCCTGATGTTATTACAGTTGAAGCCCTTTATAAGAGATGCACGGGGGATCAATCTTGTCTTTTGTATTAGAATTCTATTGTAAGCAGGGTACCATGTATTCATTTTGTTATCAAACCCCTATTTCAATATATGCACACTGTCAATTTTATGCCCAGTTATCTGTTAGATCCAGTTGTCTCTTATAAAGGGGTTTGACTGTGCTATACTTCTGGCTCTACTGATGGTGTGCTCGACTCGGTGCAAAACGAACAATGCTGATGCATCCCGCACAACTCTTTTGATCGTTTAATGAGACCAAACAGGAATGAAGTTCCCTTTTTCTTTATCACTTGCAAAATTTAGTTCTGCATTTTGTGCCGATTGCAGAGTTTTGCGCTTAAGATTTCTGGTTGACAAGTACGAATGCATGCTTTTTTGTGATACGCAGGGAAGTGATCTTGAAGTCTTTCCCTGACTTTTACAACACCTACGAGAACGTGGTGAAGAACCATCTGCACTTGTCTGGCTCCCCCATGAACGTGAGTGGTTCCACTTGGCGTATGTTGTATACATAGAAGGCAAAGACTGAATCAATTTGGGTTTTATTAGAGAGGGAATGGAAGAGTTTCTCTGCAAATTTAATTGCTCTTGGTGAATAGGGTTTCGCGTGCCCCTGCTGGGTGTTCTCGGGAGTTGCTTAAAAAATTACAGTAATAAAAAAGTAACTACCAGGCAAGATTAAAATAATATGTGCGTCATGGAAACAATATGGCACGGCGCATTTTTTTTTTTGTGCAAAGATTAACAAACAAAAAAAAGCAATAACTGCAAGCTAAAACAAAATGTAGAAAGAGGGTTACGGCCGTACACTTTACATGGTGTTGTCTGACGCCATATATGGCAACATGGCAACTCTTGGGCACAACACTTATCAATGTAATAAATCTCATCTGCTCATATGAAAAGTGTTGTGCCCAAGAGTTGCCAATATTAATCTTCATTTGCCCCGCATCTACTCGTTGATGTTTGTGAAATGGCTTGATAACATGGTTGAATGGATCAGTAAACTGCCTGGGAAGCTATGTGGTCAGACAAACTGTTCCAGAGACTGGTGAAACATAGAAGCGCAGGCTTATACACTGGAATAGCTAAGATAACGGTGTAATTTGCGTGAAGCGAGGTACGGTTTTTGCAGACCTTGTATAGGTGATTCGGATGGAATGGGTAAATGATATCCCAATGGTTAAAGTGTACGTATTACCTGCACTTCAAATAATATATTTTTAAAGCTTAGAAGCTAGGTAAGGGGCCTGTATGTGCTACTTACAACAAAATTTAAAACTTTTCGTCATTTTACCGCTTATAAGAGAAATCTCAAACGCACAGCGCCAGCCTTTCGGTTAGTGGCCCGTGGCTTTTTAACGAATGATCTTTTGAGACTTTTACGACTATTCTGAATGCTAAATGTTATTTCCATTATACTCTCACCGATTGCAATTATAATGCTTTGTTCTGGGAAGCTACATAGGTGGGACTAGTACGGTGTATTTTTTCCTGAGGCACCCAATCTGGTTACTGTGTGTAAAAACATCAGTGTAGAACCAAAACTATATTTTAGTCATTCTGCGGATTAGCATAGATATCTTTCTCAAAGCCAATATCAAGTTCTCTGTAAATGTTACTCATGTATGAGATGGAATAGAGGCATTCTTTCAGATGCCAATGCGGACTGACATTTAGTAATATAAGCCGCCCCTCCACCCCCCCTTCTCCATGTCGACTTTCTTCTGAAGAGCTTTTGTTGGGGCCATTTAGAACATGCCAATTGATAAAGGCAGACTTTCTTCACTGTCGCGGCCCTTGTCTGTCTGAATTTCGGGACTGCGTGCTAGCCGAAATTAATTTCAGAACCCTGGCTTACAGCTTAGGCCTTTTTACTATTCGAATCCTGCCATTATTCGAATTTACTTCCACTTCACTTCAAATAAAAAATGTGAAACTCTTACATCCCTAGCATCATTTGTTAAAACTATTGTGCTGGTTGGTAGGGTCATGACAAAAAATGCTCCTTTGTCTTTATAATATGTGATATGTTATTCTATTTGAAATTATTTTATTACATCGCTATTCGCTTCGAATCTCAAAATTGCCATTCCCCCAACTCTCACGTTTCTGTTAGTCTGCTGTATATTCAGTTTTTTGTTGGATAAGAATGACGAAAACATACCTGTAGTTCAATTTACATACAGCTGACTCTCAGTAAACTGAAATCTGTTTAATGGCACTACTGCTTAAATGGAACAAATGCTTCTGACAAGATTGGTTTAATTCTTGCATTGTGCACCTCTGTTTATCTCTCAGTAAACGGAACTATTGATAAATGAAACACATTTTACTGGTCCCTTCAGGTTCTGTTTAATGAGAGTCTGCTGGTAATTGCGAGAGGATTTGTTGCAGTAAATATGCTGATTGCCATGTTTATGTCCTCCGTTTTTCAGGATCCGTTTGGCGACAAGAGAGGTGTCTACCAGTTCTCAACGCTGCTGACACGACTGCAGAGCTTAAACGAGCAGATCAAGGAGAAAAACGAAGCTGCCAACAAGAAGGAGAAGAAGGAGAAAAAGAAGTGATTGCTTTGTGTGAGGCCCTTGATGCACTGAGTTGTCCACAGACAAACTCGGTACTTTTTTTAAGCCTCTGTGGCTGAAATAAGGGGTTTTCTGTCTTTTTTTTTATTTTTGTTTCTTGGCAAGTAAAAGCTTTACATTTAATGGCTCTGTAATATGGTCGTCGAAGACAAAGTACACAGTTCACTTGTACTGCTCGTGATATTTCTGTACACGGTGCGGCCACTTCCGTAATAGTGTGAAGTGTTGTGCTAGTCTGTTGGATTTAAAAAAAAAAATTATTGTTGTCGGCGAGTGATATCGGGCAGGCGTTAAGGGCGTTGAGTGTGGCAGTGCATCGAAAGCATCTGCCAGGCTTGCTCACATTGTTCACAGTGAAAACATGGTGTTTCCTGTGAGCTAACAGACCCTCTTTTTCATCGTGTCGTTTTTCGTTTGTAGCCGGGCCTTTTGTGCTTAGCTTCTGCCCCTGTTAGGTACTGTTTGCGGCGTTTCATGAATGTTTGTACCGAGGCAAAAGCAATACAGTTTCTTTGCCAGAGGGAATCCCTCTGCTGAATGATGGACCATTTATCTTGATGCATTTGGCTTTAATTTTTTTTAGCTTTGATTTCTGAACGAATTCTGCGGGCTTAATAAAACGAAAGTTGGGGGCAACTTTCTTGGTAAACTGAATATCGCACCGGCAGCGAGGTTTACAAGGTAGCATTTTTGTAGGGCCAGAGATTGATAGCTGCGTCATCTAAGGCTCCCTTAGCCTTAACTATGTGGATTGGCTCTCTTAAGCACCAAGCCAGTAGTGCTGCGTTGCCCAGATTTTAAGGTTGTTCACCCGTGCCCCATGTGATGCAAGGGCAGAAAAAGCTGGCAAACGATGTTCACTACATTCACTACTGCAGTTACCACCATTCCAGAAAGTCGAGAAATGCCGGCTTGATAACTAGGAAGGTTGCATTCGATTCTTTGTGGTTGGGGTCTTTAAGACATCTCATCGACTGCCAAGTTTTCTTGTGGAAGTACATCGCAACCACCATGTGTTTATATAATTCCTTGTGTCTAGTCCCTAGCTGGTGTGTGCCACTCCCTGTTCGTGTATTATTTGTTCAGACATTAACTGCACATGTTAAACTTATCACTCCATTTTTTCCAGTTTTTTTTTTGTGTGTGTGTTCTTAGGGAGGAAGTTGTCTCGTGCATAGTCGTGGCATCACAGCCCAGAACTTGTATGGTAGCGAGGCACACAAGTTGTGAGTGAAAAGGGTGTCCACATGTTCCAAAAATATTCAGCCCACCTCAGCTTTGGCTGGCAGGTGCCATTTCATACCTTTCTATTGCTACCAAAGGGAGTAAAACTCCGGGGTTTTTTATGCCAAAGCACCAATGTGACTATAAGGTTCTTTGTACTAGAGAACTCTTTACCCAGTTTGTACCACATAGGAACCTTTATAAGGGGTTTAAACCTAAGTAAATGCACATATTTTAAGTTAATTCAATCCCTGCACCAGAGCTGCAAAATGAGCGCAAATTGGCGAGTAGGGGCGTAGGAATGGCAAATCTATTTTCCAAGACGAAGTCAAATGTAATAGTAGTGCCAGAACCGAATCTGATAGTTTTTGAGTGCTTAACAGCTTTGTTTGCATCTGCCTAAAGCATTCTCACATTCTATTGTTCATTATTTTAACAATAGAATGGGGGAAGATTGCAAATGACCATTGCATAGCTTGAAAGTATAGGCTATTCGCTTGGCGTAAGCTGTTGTTCTTACACAATGCCGATGTGCATAAAGTTCATCACATTTTACGAATTTGGTTTACTCAGATGCTGTTGAGATTTCGAAATATTTGTAAAGTATGCAAAATCAAATCATATTCATTAAAATTGGTTAGGGCACTATATTTGATTTCTTATTCAACATTCTTTTTTTTCTGATACCTACACCCACTATTTCTGGGTCATCATGGTGCCATTTTAGCTAGTGCTGCTGGGCTGCTGCTTCTTGGAACAAGTGGCACTTTGTATACTGTACAGTGAACTTTAGTGTAAGAGCATATTTGTTGTCTTTGCTGTTTTTGCGAGTTCCTTTTCAAGACAAATATGTGCCAAGAGGGCACATTGCGTTTCAAAGCGCTGCACCGAACACATCAAATATTTGCACATGTATGTGCAATTTGGTTTTGTGTGATGTAATCGCTTTTGTCTCGCTTGTATAGTATTGCACTCATATGTATCGGAGATCTGAGTTGTTGAAGTTGACATCATAAAGAATAAAGATGGCAGAATAAAGATTGGCACCTGTTTTATTTTTGTACAGTCAGCATGCTTTAGTCTTATGACGTGGCTAAGAGAATGCGATGAAATCGGAGTGGGGGGCCCCTCGCTGAAGTTTAAACGTAGTTGCAGTTAAAATATGAAACTGAATTCGATGAAACAGTATTTAAAGTTGTGTTAGTTGGTACGGCAGCATTTTTGGGTACAGTGCGAAATCGACTGAGACGGAAGACTGAAGAAGCACAGACGAGCGCTATATCTAGGACAAGCAAGCGGAGACAGGCATTAAATGCTAATGGTAGAAGTCGGCATCTAAGCCAAGCATCCAGAAATATTGACTCAAAAATGCTAGCAGCAAAAAAATATTCCATTAATGCAGTGATGACTGCGCCAATAGGTGAAACTTGCTACGTCTTGGTAAAAACTTCATTATTTGTGCCAAGACATTATTTTTGCGTTGTTACGTGAGGTTAGATGCTCGAAATTTATAGGTTACTATAATTTCGAGTGGTCTTTTCAGTAGACTAGAAAGTACTATGTAGTTGAAGTAGTTGCTGGCCGCAAGCCTTCCAAACAGTTTTAACTCGCCCATATTGCGAAACTTAATGGGTTAGATTTCAACTCGCCCATACTGTGAAACTAGCTGCATTAGTCTTTACTAGTACTACCTATACCATACGGGAGATAGCTTTGTTGAGTTACTCGTTTCTAACTATTGTAGAACAGTCAGAAAGAAGTAATGGCCTATAGTTGTTCTTGTAGCAGCAGTCTTACTTGACTGACTATTGATTAGAGTAATTCAGTACGTGTATATGGAACCAGCTGTTTTTCTTTATTTGTTAATGCATAGTTCTATTGGTTCTACTTTACTTGCAAAATATTTCATGCAGGGTGTTTCCTGTTTAAGGCCGTACAATGGGCGTATTTTACAAACATTATCACATGCTTGTACAGCAACTTTTACTACCCTGAGAAAACATGGTGTCCCAGTGTTCAGGCAAATCTCGAATAGGCATCTCGACCTTAGCAACTGTACATGCCAAATAGCTTGTCAAATAAAACTCCTACTCCACCTCACCTGTCATCGTAAATTTGTTGAGTGCATAAAATAACGAAAATGAAGGACCAGCTATAAAACCTGTTTCTTATTAACGACCAATTAACTGGGACACTAGCGATCCTGTACTTCAATCATGACGGCAGACACTTCTCCATTCAATGAAGGACAAGGTTGTACAAAAAGCACACGTGTAATCTTTCTTTTTTTAAAGTAAATGGAATCTGTGAAAGATAGTGACAGATTGTGCTTACAGTATTGTAACTTAAGCATAAAAGAAAGCTCTTAAAGTCACTTACAAATATCCAGCCAACTCCTTGGAAGTGTTGGGTGGCTTGAGCTGACTTGGAGATGTCTGCAGAAAAGTGAACAGAGCAGTGACTTAATTCCATGTTTAGGAATACTCCAAATGAACATGCATGTGTGCTTGCATAAATTGATTTTCTTTGACGTGTGGTGTAGCAGCCATGGCTCAAGAGACAAATGTTTTGTGGCCAAAAAAATGTGGCATGTATCTGCTCCAAACTGTTATGCTGCTCCAAAGTGAGGTTTTAGTTACTCCAGAAGCTGCGCGAAAATGACGTTTCTCAGTCACATCTCCTAATGTAAATTCTTTCTTCAATTTCTTGCAAAGAATGTTACTGCCATCCACCACTCATACAATTTCCAAGTAGTAGCAACATGGCTACACAAGCTAGAACTCTGTAGAGACTACTATACTTGAAAACGTGCCTGAAAGGTTGTTTCAAGCATTTCTGAATGCAAAATTTTCATTAAATGTTGCCTAGAATCACGCATGCACTATAATGTTAACGTACATGATGCAGGAGTATTGGTGGAAAGCCTAATCACCAAGTGCAATACCTTTGCTCTGCAGCAAAAACGAACCTACTGTCACAAGAACTCTTTTTCTGTGTGTGTATGCTGATACCACCGTTGTGGGGTTGCTGACGTTTGATGAATTACACCGAAAATTTGAATTTCTTACTTTCCCTGGCTACTTTTTTCACTGGCATATGTTTAGAATTATAAAAGTCTGTATGGGAAAGGTTCAGTGCATGTGGTGTGCCAGTTGTTCCTATCGTTGAGTTTCAGGACTAGCACACGTTATACAAAGGGTATGTATCTTTGAGCATCCTTCCTTCTTGCTGCCCTCTTTTTTTGCACAAGGACAAACCTGTGCGAGTTTGCTTGGCGCGAGGAAAAAACAAGTGGGACCCCATGTCGATTGGAAACCCCTTTCAGCCTCTTTCCCCAATGCTTCCGCATCTGCTGTTTTACGCTTGGCGCTGCCCTTCAGCCGCACATAGCTATGAACGATCGAGAGAATTCTGCGTACACTATTTTTGGCACACGTTCCGCAAATGCCCCAGCTGCTACATGTGCGCACGACTTACACAGAGCCGATTCCAAGCAGGATAATAAGCTTTAAGTGGGCACAGTCATAGGAGTTGCTTTCGTGCCCTTAGTGGATTCATCCGACATGTGTGACCCTTTCCAAACCTCAATTTAAGATCTAAAGGCTGTAACGCATTGCCGTGGAGCAGCTCACGGGCAAATGATAAGCCCGTTTCATACTGCATGGGTTTTCTTAAACTGGTTTCCATGAAACCCAGAGGTACCGTGAAAGACATGTTAGGGTTTTGCGAACGGCCAAAAGGAATGTAACCCACTCCTGTTTTATCCTCATTGGCAACAAACTTGACAAACAAATTTGCATTCTATTTCGCATTAGCGAAACAGTCCCGCGTCGCGTCCTAAAATCGGGTGTCTGCGAGCAGCGAGAGACCCACGTGGTATCTGTTGTAGCGGAATAGCAGGAGGCAAAAAACTTTGTTTAAAGGATGAAGACAGAGAGTCAAGACGACCTTTCAGTACGAACGCATCACGAAGACTGATTTAAATGACAGCATGTACACCACTATTGTAGAGAGGAAAAGGGAAAGTAAAAAATACATGCAGAGAAATGCAAGTATGCATATAGTCAAAAAGAGTCTTCTCTGCACCCCGTACGTGCAACGTTTTCCAGCAACTCAGGTAGCTCTTAAAGGCGCGCTGACATTGAGGACGCATTACCGCCTTTCTGGACCACTTGACTTCTTTGAAGAGTGACGCTGCTGCCTGGAAATGCGTCTTCTCCAAGTTGGCCCTTTTGTGCATTTTCGCCTAGGATCGTTCACGGGTCGTTCAATTAGTTCCTCAGAAGCGGCGGTTTCGTTTCCATTTTGCGACATATACAACCTCCCCTGAATGAGCGAGCTCTTTAGCTCATTGTCCATTGACTTCCAGGAGATAAAGCAGCTGTATCGGTTGCTCTACTTGTGCTCCCCCGCTTAGTTTCAATCTGCAGGCCCGCACTCTGCTGTCTCTGCCTTTAAAAGTTTCCTCGATTTTGGCGGTCTTCCACATGTGTCGTTTCAGATTATCTTCTTTAAAAGAACCAAATCGTCCATCTTTAGGTCACTTGTTCTTGTTGGGCGGGACAAATGTGCTGATCTAAGCTCCACCAAGTCTCTTTCCGCCATTGCTTCTAGAATCCTTCAGCCACTGCCACTGGTACCTTCAGCGTTGTGAGAGATGCGCATCACCACCTGGAGTTTGGGCTGGCAGGTGATGTAGAAAAAGGGTTGTCAGCTTCTTTCCCACGAAGAAGTCTGCCGGTGACAGCAGTTCTGGCTCTTGAGCATCATCGTAGGTGAAAGTCAATGGGCGTCAGTTTATCACAGCTTCCACTTCGTGCAATACAGTTGTGAGTTCTTTAAAGCTTAAACTGCTCCGACCTAACACTTTGCTCAACGCTACCTTCACTGATCGCATGCACCAACGGCTCCCAGAATCCGCCCCACCAAGCTGCCCTTTCAACAATAAACTTCCACCTGATCTGCTTTGCAGCGAAGTATGTCTGCTTTGGCTCTGATTTTAGCAGCGCGAACATTGCTCTCAGATCCTTAGCTGCTCTCTTGAACATTAGAGCGTTGTCTGAATAAATAGTTGAGCAAATTCTGCTGTGAGCCACGAAGCGCTTGAATGCCAGGAGAAAGGCTGTAGTCAACATTTTGCTGACTAGTTCAAGATGTATGGCACGTGTCACGGCGCAGGTGGACATAGCAATGTAACATTTTCGGACATCACGCGACTGTTGACAAATCAGAGGTCCAGCGAAATCGATGCCGACTGTGTCGAACAGATTTCACTTTGTTACTCTGTCAGCTGGAAGTGGTGCTACTGGTTCCGTAGCTGGAGGGCAAGTTTGTTTTCGACAGATGAGGCACTGCTTTATGACCTTCTTTACTACCTGGCGCCCTCGGATTATATGACTCTCGCAGTTGCGCCAAGGTGTCGCACACCCACGAGTGCAGCATTCTCACGTGCCCTTTCCTTATGAGCAGAAACGTGAAGGGTTGAGTGCTAGGCAGAATGGTGGGATGTTTAGTCTCTTCGGGGTTTTCGGTCAACTGCAGGCATCCACCAACTCGCATGAGACCCTCCCCGTCAGGGTACAGGTTCAGTGACAAAACAGGAGAGCTTTTGTGCAGCGGTTTTTGGGCTTTCCGGTTGGAAATGTTGTCACTGAATGCCTCTCCTTGAGTTGCAGCCAACCAGAAGGGCTTCCATTTTGTAACATTTTCTTTAATCCAGTGCATGGCTACTGTTGAATCTGTCCAAAGCATAGTAGCAGCATTCTGGAGGTCCAACGTTTTGGCGACCTCGTGGCACAGTCGAACGCCTATGAGTGCCCCCATCAGCTCTAATCGGGGTAACGAGAAGCTCTTCAAAGGAGCTACTCTTGATATGGTCATAATTAGGCTTATAGTGATTGTTACCTGGGGAGACTTGCTTGCACCGTATGCCTTTGGGCTGGTATCACAGAAAAATGTGCAACGCTTTCTCTGTCTCTTCATCTCAGAAATCGCTTGCGTTGGTTCTCAAAATTGAAACTGCCTTGATGCAGCGAAGATG